TGAAGAGGAGACGCAGATTTGTAATTGCCAGTATTGTTATTCTACTACTGATGCTAATTGTAATAAAAAAAAATATTAATATGGTCTTGCTATACAAAGGCAAACAGGTTAAAGACATAAACATCTACAAGGGTTTGAAGGTTTAATTCCTGCAAGGAGTTCTGTAATGCTTCCTGTTGACTCATCTAGACTGACTAGTTTTTTAAAGGTGTGATTGGGTTTGTAACTTGACTAAAATAGGGTTCTTCAAAGAACTTAAGGATCACTCAAAGAATCAATTCAGTAACCAAATCACAAATTATTGAAAATTTAGCAAAGGAAAGTGAAGTAAAGGAGACTCAACAGCAAATTAATAAATCAGAAAAAACTATAAAATCAGAAAGTATTAAACGAGTAGTAAATCAGCAAGAATAGGTATAAACTTGATACTAAGGTAAATAATTTATGAAAAAAAGAGACAAGGTTGGGTCTTTTTTTTTTATTACATGTTAGGCTTCTCGCTTGATGTTTTATTAATCTATTTTCATCTTTATCAAAATGTTGTTGCAAAATGAATTGTCACAAAATCTTTTTTTTTTTTCTGTCAAAACTAATCTATGCAAGTAGGTATAGAGTGTTGCTTTCCTTCTCTTTTTGGGCTCTTTTTATAGACCCATAAAAAATTGACGAATTTTGGTTCACCTGAAAAATTATCACCATATTAAAGCTCATTAAAAAAATTTCAAAATCTTAACAAAATTGAACTATTTTACCTATGACTAGTGAGAGGAAGAATTAGAAAAGTTCAAAATCGAATTAAATTATTATTGGATTTTCAAAAATGTCAAAACTAATATATATGTATGTATTATTGGAATTCAATTCAATTCAATTTTTAATTCCTACGACAAAATTGAATCAAACTAAATTGAGTTGAGCCTATAATATGCTTATATTTTTATTTTATTATATATAATATTAATTATTTATATCATTATTTTCTTGAATATATAATTTTTTATTTTTTAATTCTTAAACTCTTTTATGAATTATTTTAATTTTAATATTATATTAAAATTAAACTGAACTCCATATTATTTTCATATTCAATTCTAAGAAATTTTAACACCCTAAGAACAAGCGGTGATTGTAAAACTTCCAAAGTAGCGGCATCAAACCAAGTGGATATTTTGTTCTACTCTTTTTTAAAAAAATTAACAATTTATTAAAAATTATTGTTTTTTGGAATTTGGACAAATGCTAATCCATTACGAGTATTTGGGTTGAGAAACAAAAAAAATATATTAAAAATACTATTAAATACATATTTACTCTAGTTTTTTTTTTTATAAAAAAAGAAAAGAAAAATAGAAACATATTAACTGTAGTTACATAATCATTATACTTTTTAATGTATTTTTAAAATTATTTTTCATTTTTTAGTTCTTTTTAAACAAGGATTAACAGAACTTTTAAATTTGAGTTCAACCAAATACGTTACAGTCCAGTTAATTATTCTGTCAAGCATCTTCGTAGCATGGATATATACATCTAACAAATCTTCTAAGAAAAAAATTATGGAAACTCTAAAACTTAACCAATTAAATATTTTTCATAGGTGAATTAATGAAAAATAATATTTAAAAGTTTAAAACTATACAATAACCCTATAATTAATATTATAAACCCTAAACCTAAAGATTTTGTCTCAGAATTTGTAGGGGAAAAAATAGTTTGAACGATAATGGAGAAAAGGAAGAGGAATGTGAATTAATACAAAATTGTTTAATACGAGAGAATTTAAAAATATAAAATTAAAAGAATTTTAAGAGATTATAAAATCTTTCTTTTTTTTCATTTAAAAACAAAAAAAAATTATTACATAAATTTTTATTTCTCACTTAAAAAATTAACTCTTCAACAAAACCTAATATTATTATAACAAAATAATTGAATTAAAACCTGGGCCCTTGTGCGAAAATAATTTCAAGGTTTGTCTTGAAAACTTATTCAAGTTGCAAAAGAATAATCATCTGGTACGAGGTTGGAAATTTGAAACCTTTATTCGGAAAAATTGCAACAAATAAGCAAATACAAGCCCCCAAGTGTAGATATTCAGTTTAGATTAGAGAAAACACACTAGATTAGGTTCAACCCGTCTAATCAACGTCACAAGATTTAGTTTATCTTTTTCAATGTAAACAAATGAGTTGTGACTCTATCAACAACCTTCTTTTGAAAAAAAATTATCTCATCTCAAAGTTAGTTTAAAAAATTCTTCTTAGATGCTATAAAATGCTCAATTTCTGCCTTCCATTCATGAATTTAAGAGTTATACTATTGATTTACTTTACACTTTTTCTCATGGTGAAGATGTGAAAAAATAAAAATCATAGAATTTAGATATAATTAATTTTTTACTTCTAATTAAAAGTTAAAACATAATTATCGTATTTAACTTTAGAGTTTAGCAAATTTTGAAATGAATCTTGTCCTGTAAATTTATTTTTGTAATTACAATTACAAAATGGTTTATCAAATATAAAAAAAATATATCATAAATTATATGTCAAACTGAATTCACATGTTTAATCTGTATTAAATGAATCGTACAATAAAGGCACTAAAATCCTTCAAATTGAGTAGGTAATTTATAAATCACTTTTTTTTAATCAAATCCGTATATGTACCCATAATGATGTTAATTATGGAACATTTTCAAGAGTTTGAAATCCTGAATGATCTAGTCCTCGGAAACCCTGGCCAAGTAGAAACTCTTGAACGAATGTAATGCTTAGAAAAGGCTGTTAAAACAAACCCTTCAACAATGATGCATGATAATTTAGGTTTTTTTCTTTTTTAATTTTGGTATTCTATTTGGTTTAATACGAAAAAAATTTAAGATTTTTTTAAAATTTTTCCATCTAGTTTAATGTAGATCCGACCTAAATCGCGCATCTAGATGTGGTAAATTAATTTACTATTAAATTTTTTTTATATATACAAAAACTCAAACTTAAAAATTTACTTAAACGATGTCACTTGTTACTTGAACTAACTTTCGTTGGTAAATAATTTAGGTTTAATATTAAGCAAGACTTTTGTTACCATTTATCATCATATTTATAAGTAGCAGTAAAATATATGGATGTTTCATTTTTAAATCTTCTATTTTACTATAAATAATTATATAATTTTTATGAGAAATTACACATAAAAAATTAATGTGTTTTTAATATATATTCAACAAATTTTTATGCATTATATAATATTATCAAATTAAGGATTTGGATAGTTTAAGCATCCCATACAAGTAATAAATTTGTATTGCAAAATAACACATCCATTTAAAATTGTGTGAGTGTAATAATTATTTTTAAAATTTAAATTTTACTTTTGTTAGTTGGTTAAAGTCGGTCCATAAAATTGAAGTTAACATTTATTTAAAATTAAAATAAGTGTTTGAATAAAAAAATAAAATTATATTACATGAATTTTATAAATTTTTAAAAGAGTAAATACTTTTATTATAATAAATATATTTATCATATTAAATAGGACAAAATTAAACAGAAAATTTTTTAAATTTAAGAAAAAATTATAAAAATCAAATAGATAGAACTAAAAAAAATGTAGGATAAATGATATGGAGCAACTAAGAAAATAATAGCCCTTCATTTAAAACACTTTCACACAAAACTCTATATGTGTTGTATAATATTTCACTATTTTAGTTGAAAAGTGATGTATTTTTTTTTTTTGTCAATACTCTAAATTTATCAACATGCACTTTTCATATTATATGTATATAAGGTACAATTTTAATATTTTTTTAAAATTTAAAATTTATAAATTGTTTTAAAAATTAAATTTGTGATTTCATATTAGAAAACATAAATATAATATGAAACTACTAAAATTTTCAAATGTTTAACGATTGAATTTTTATTTAATATTAAAAAGTCGACTATCATATATAAAAAATATAAAAAATTTAACAACTATATATTTGTATATATATATATATATATATATATATATATATATATATATATACATATATATTTTAAAAAGTAAGTAAGTTACACTCTTAATGTTAAAAAAAATTATCCAAAAATAATGTTGTAACGTGTGAAAAAGAATAAATTTATAAGTTACCTCAAATATCTCTCTAACTTTATCATTAAGGTATATGCTCTAACCTTTTCTTTCACCTAAAGTTAGGTTTGAATTTAAAGGAAAAAATAAAATGAAATAGAGTAGGAAAAATTATACTATGCAAAACTACTTGTAATTTCATCTTATGAAAAAGGTAAGAATAGAGTGGAATGGGGAAAAGAAATCATTTTAAAACTCTATGAAATATCTTACATTTTATTTTATATCTTACATTTTCTTCCCTTCTAATTTGGACAATAAAATGAAATAAGTCTTTTTCTCCTTTCTACCATTAAATTTAAAGTATCTATACAACAAAATTATAAATTTCGTTTATTTCTTTCTATTTCATTTCACTATCCACAGAATATTCCAACATATTCTCAATGCTTCATTATTAAATAAATATTTTTTAAAAATGTCAAAAATACAATAAAAATTATATTTTTTATTAAAAATTACAGAATTTAAATAATTTTATAATATTAAATACTGGAATCAATAAAAGAATCAACCCATGTTATTTAGTGAAACGTGGAATTTCGCTCGTTAATTAAAAAAAATTACTAAAAAAATACAAAGATTGTTAGTAATCCTCAACTAAAACTTCTGTTCAATTTTTTTCTTTCTCTTGCTTCGGTCGACCTGTTGTTAAAATAAAGTCCATTGAAACATCTTGAGAGGGCTAAGCCTAACGACTCAAAATATCGCATCGGTACCACTTCACTTAATAACACTTTCTACCACTATAGCGTTACGTTATGCAGACTACAGAGTAACTAAACACGCGCAAGCATAAAATCGAGAAATAGAGTAGACTAAAGGCTTCATTCACATGCTGCGTAAACAAAAGATGTAACAGACTATAAACGATTGATTACTGCTTATTAGAAAATAGTTAATCGAGATATTCAGAAGAAATCCTGACATTTACCACTAAAGTGTACAACTTAACTACACGTGAGGATAAACAACTTTATAAACAGCTAACAATGTTGCCTCCACAAACTAAATTACTGAAGAGAAGCCCGAGCCAGTGAGTCAGATTATTAATCTCTCCTCTTCTTCTTCTTCTCATTTCTCTCAACTGAATTCTTCAACTGTGAATGAATAATAAAAAAGTCAAATACCAATTCATCGTGAGAAAAACTGAAGAATCCTGAAAAGCTATTCTCGAATCCAACTCACCATTATAATAAGAATCCGCACAAAAATTGCAGCCAAGTCAGTGAATAGTGTCAATGCATGCTTCACATAATCCAGGTCGCCAAAGTGAGCCCTCTCAATAATTTCTTGGGTATCTACTATAACGTAGCCTACAAATACCAAAAGCCCAAAGTACAACTACAGAAATTGCAAATAAGACCCGTGTAAGATATCTTATAGCATATAACATTACAAAATATATACCCATAATACAAGGGATTTTTTTCCAGGGAAAATAATAGCATTGTCACATACCTCAAACTTAAAGAGCGCTATTGGGCCTCCAAAAACAGAGGAAGCAAAGTGCAGCCACAGAAGAATGGAAATCCCAGAAGAAAGCAAGCCACCAAGGTAGAGATACTCCCTCCGCCTTGCTACTAAAGCTGCCGCTGAGAAACAAGCAAAAGCCAGAGAAGTTCCCACAAATGCGCTGAAGATAAGGCTTGAAAATTGAACAAAAAATGTCAGAATATCATCTAAAACTCAAAATTAGCATAAGGAGCCACCTTCCATATGTCACAAAGCAGATTCAAAACAATTTTTTGCAGTTATTTGTATCAATGAATCCTTAAATAATGATGATAATAACAAACACTTGTAGATTAATAACTATGCTTGCATGAAAAAGAGAGAGAGAGAGAAACACATTTAGAGCAACACTTTCTCCTCTCTCTCATTCCAATAAGGAAGATGCGCGCGTTTGGCATAGAACTTATGATTAAGAATAACACAACTCATGACATACCATTTATTCAAATTCAAATCATATGCAGTCAATAAGTCCAAATAAACTCCACAATCAAAAGGCATAATCGTAATTAAGGAAAATAGATGCATACCTAGGATCAATTGCGATGGCCAAATCAATCAAAGGTCCAATGGAAGCGCCCTGAAACAGGGCCAAAGCCATCAACAGAAACACCCTCTTTTGCTGCAAAACCACAAAACAAGGAGTGAGAAAGACAATACAGAAGGCTTACAAAGAGAAACAAAAGGGGGGAAACTCCTGTTCATACCTCTTCAAAAGGAGGAGTTGAGAGCAACCAAATAACGCTTCCAATGGAAGCCACAGTAGTGAGAAAACCTCCAATGTTCCACAGCACATGAAGAAAGGCTCCAACAGCAGCAGCAACCACAGCGCAACATAGTGTAAAATAAACCTGCCATTAATCACCAACATAACCAAGTTGAAATTGTTGAAAACCCAATAGTCCGTTATGTAATTGTAATGTTGTGGGTTAAATAATAATTATTAAAAGATGAATTACTCGCGTGATGTGCTTCTGAACGAGGGGAGAAATCTGACGGAAGTTCTTGAGAGAATCAGAACTCCAGCGGGTTCTCGAAGACGATTGGGAACCGAAGAACGCGTCCATTGATACAAGCAAATGCAAAACGCAAAACGCAAATTAATTGTTTGAGAAGAGTTAGGAGCGGGATAGTATATATAGTTGAATTTGACAAAAAGTTCTAGTTCTCTCCAGAATGGACGACGCGTCGTCTTTTATCACGTGATAAGTTCTCAAATCCGTATCAACTAATCTTCGTCTTAAGTGCCGATTGTTTCTCCGCTGAGATAAACAAATATAAGTTGTTAAAAATTAACAACTGGTGATAAGAAGTATTTTTAATCTTTTTATTTTTATTTTTTTAAACAAATTGGAATCGATTTTCAAAGCTTAAAATGCTTATCCAATCACATCCTATTTCCACCTTATCTGGTTTAAAATTTTAAAATTAATTTTTATACTTTTGTTAAAAAAATATTTCTGTATCTATTATTTATAAGAGAAATATTTATATATTATATTTTATAAATTATTGTTGCTTCCAACTTTTTATAAAATTAACTTCTTTTACGACTTTTAAGAATTATAATAAATTTTTAAATTTAAATTTTTAAAATGACTTTTGTGAGTATTATTTTTCATTTAACCTTTTTAATTTTTAAATTCAAATGTGGTAAGTTTTTTATTTTATATTTATTCTTTATTGTTACTGTATATGTTTCGATTTTTTAAAAATAGGAAGATATTAATATATAATTCAAAAACACTATGTAACTTTGTTGCAATAAAATAAATAAATATCTTATAAATTCTCAACCGTTTTACATTTTACTAAATTATATTAAGGCAAGAATTTATGTTTATTATAATTCCTTAGTAACAGTGTTTAATAATAAATAATAATGTAACAATCATGTTAGTAAGAACAAAAGAAGTAAATCTATTTTATACCCAAAAAGTAACCACAGGCAATACAAGCAAGAGGAGTGACAAATTTTTTGTATGAGTATTTAAATATATAACAGACACATTTGTTTATCATTTAATGACTCATTCTTAGCAACTGTACTTTGTCATTATTTACAAGTAGTAGATTTTTTTTTTTTGGTGTATTTTATTTTGTTCTTTTATTTTATATAGTTTGATGAAAAGGGTATGACTCAAGATTTGACAATTCTATAAAAATGGTAAAATTTGATAAGAAAAAAAAATGGTAATATGTTGATAAAAAAAATTATTTGTTCCATTTTTTTAGTCTCATTGAGCGTTTTATCATGTTATTTTAGGATAATTTATTTGAAAATTTTGTCTCTTTCCTATGAATTTAAGTGTTCATTTTATATATTTTTCTTTAATTCACTTTTTTATTCTTATTTTTTATTACACAATAGTTTATGAAATTTACTTTATTTTTTTCTTAAATATTTTATTTTATGGTTGAGAATAATACTTCTAATCCAAAACTTCATGGATTAAAAGAAGTGAAAAGTAAATAAAACTAAAACTTTATTTGTATTGGTGAGTTTGTTGTTCATTGTCATTATCTTTTTGACTTTATCGTGTTCCTTCGTGTATTTATTTTATTTTATTTTTTAAACTTTATTTAAGTACACTTTAGAGGTGAACAACAATCAGTCATATATGTATATTATTTTTTTTATTTTGTATTTGTTGCTTATTATTGTTATTTGTTGTTGTTATGTATGTTTAGGTTTTTCAAAGAATAAGTGGGATATTAATTTGCAATCCAAATAACTACTTTCAGTTGTTTCTCAACTAAGCTTTATAAATTTCAATTTTTAAATTGTTTTAAAATGTATATAATATAATTTAAATAACCGACTGTATAAATAACTTTTATACCATCATTCAAAAATTAATTATTATGTTAGCAAGGATTGATAACTTTTGTGATAATTAATATAAAAATTATATTTATAATATATTTTAATTAGTTAAATATATAAAATTTATTTTGAAAAATAATCAAACAACTCTTATATTTTTAAATCGATGCTTTTTATATCAATTTTTATTATTTTTTCTATTATCACTTTCTTCTTTTTCTTCCATTAATCACATAACTTATCCAAAATGAGTTGACAGGTCAGCTCCCAAATGGAAAATGCAAAATATTTCGTACCATCCACCAAATCTTAAGATAGAAGAGATAAAAGTTTTAGTAGAATAGTAGGTTTGATGCCTTAGCGGGTCTTTGTTATTATCCAATCCATTCAAACACAAAACAAAACTTTACAGTGAATTATAACGTAAGGGTCAGCATTCTGAACAGTATGATCATTCTGTAGGTGGTGAAGACAATGAAAGTTTCAAAAGCAAACCAAACAATAATCCAATGAGACCCACGAACATGGCAAAAGTGAAGGAAAACCCTGGATCGCTTCTACGATTTCTTCGCCTTTTCAGCATATCCTACTCATATCAAGATGGATCAGATTTATAAATATTTTTGCAAGAGTTGATCTCAATAAATAAATAAATAAATAAACTCATGCATATGTACTATATGTTGAGAGATGAAATAAAAAAGAAAAAAAAAGAAGGTAAATATTTAGACATTTAACTGTTATTCCCTTCATGACCAATTTTAGTGTAAGAATATATTTTCTTAAACCAGTAAAAATTATTATTTTCTTAAAGCTAATCCAAACACGCATTATGTATACGTATGCCACAAATTTCCGTCAATGTCTCCTTGGTTAAGAGTAAGAAAGGTAACACCATTGAGGTTTTCATTAGCTATAGAATAAAAATACCAGCTTAATAAACACTCCATAACGAAAATGACATTAAAAAAGTCAGGTTTACAAAGAAATAATATAAGTACTCTCTATAATAGTAAAGTAAACATGGCATAAAAATTAAAATCACATTGATATTTTATCTTTCGTCTCTTTCATTACCATTGATAAAATATGTAATAATATATCTTTGACAGTAAACTTCTATATCAAATATTGACTCAAACCTTATTGTTATGAAGTAATGCAAGAATAATAAATGCTCGCAAAATATTTTATGATATTCTTTTTATAAAATTGTTTTATCATTAATTAGGTGAATGTTGACCTAGAATTTTTAATGAAACTCGCAGAAAATTCATTAATTGATAAAGAATGTGTTAAACCAGAGAATATCAAAGAATATGTTAGTATGTGGCATTGAGGAAATAATGTAGTTTAAGTACCAGTTCTTGTTGCAGTTGCCGTGTTTGTCTAACAGTGGCATCTCTTTCCTCCTTCAGGCGCTGTATGATTTGACTCTTAAAAAAAAACATTATTTCAGTTAAGAATCAATGCTTAACCAAAGAGGTGAGTAATGTTATTTTAATATTTTTACATAACACACTCACAACAGAGTTTACATAACAATAGTGATGGAAAGAGAGCAGAGAGAAGTGTGAGATAAGTGAGATGATTCTAGATTGAGATAAAAAGAAAAAACAATAAGGTCTTATTAACTATTGTGCTAAAAGTATTGATATAAGAATTAAGAAAAAGTAAGTTTTGATTCTTTAACGAGTTTGAACATGGGGGATTAAATGCTACAGTGCAGGAAATGGTTCATAGTGAAGCAAAAGATGTAAAAAGATGACGAATCACATCCATACTTTCTAAATTTACTATACGATTCCTAACTATATATATATGGCAAACTACACAAAATTATCCGGTATAAAAATAAAACTTCAAACTGATTCAACAAAGGGAGGGTGAACGAGAGCAACTCACTTGCGTGGAGTTCATTACAGTATCATCTTCTGTGCTTCCGTGGGGTGAGGTAGGCGAGATATATACCACTCTTAGTTTCAATTCCTCTATTGACTTTCCACTGTCCTTATTAAACTGCAAGCCAAAATATGCAATGATGTTGATCATTTTTTAAAAAAAAAAATTAGAACTGATCCTACAAAACGACAGTGCTGACTCTCTTACAGTATCTGGTGGAAGCTCATCAACGTCAGTGTTTGGACTCACTATGATAGTCTGCAAGAGAAACTTATCTTTGCATTGCATGTCTTGAGGGTATTCTTGTTGGGCTTGGAGGGTGACTGCACAACACAAACAAGAGTATTGATAGATGCTACACACGCACACACATACATTTTCGTTTCTTATAAAAACTTCTTTAAAACTTTAACCAAACTGGGTTTTAGCATACTCTTCCTAATTCTTAATTACATGGAAAATAATTCCATCTTTGTGACCTTCGATTGGTTGTAGTTATCAGGCTTCATAGATCAAAGTTCACCAGTTTAATTAATTTTTCTTTCTCCTCCTACTCATGTCTAATATGAAAATGAAAAACATTTTCCAATTTATGGCTCTTTGATGGGCATTCAGTTATTTGTTTTATGCAAATCTCCTGAACGGAATACAGAAACCCTTTGTTAAGCTGTCTTTAGTTGTCCAACATTTCAAATTATCAAAGATCTGATCCTAGTTTTTCCCCCCCAAATTATTAAAGTAACTAAAATTGCTTGGGCAATAGTAACAAGAAGCACCTCTTATGATACACGAATCCCATGGATGTATAACACCAGTATTAGGTCGTACAAAGTACTTCTTTGGTGAAGTGGTTTTGACCTGACAAAAAGTTAAATAAGATAACACTTGAATAAAATGCAGTCCGAATATACTAAATATTAGCTGGAGAAAAGCATATCCAAAAACATTGCCTTTGTTAATATATGGGGAGTCAATAGAGTACCTTAAAGGCAACGTAGTGCTCTGTGTTATTCAGGACTTTAAGATCGCAAAATGTTTGCTTCTCCAACTCAACTGTTTTACATGAACATAATTAGCATAACCGAACAAGAATTCAAATTTCTGCTTTATATACACTAACTGAAATTTGTAAGCATTACGATTAATATTATTATTATTAGTGTATATGGTTTTCCTATTTGATATACCAAATAGGGAAAACCACAGTGCAATCTTGAAACAGAGAGAAACAGAGATGCTCCTTATTCTCTGAGAATTCCCAAATACAAATGCACAAAACCAATCCAACTTCAATGGGTAAAGAAACGCCGGTAGAATTACATGTTTAACCTCGATATTTTTATTTACACTCGTTTCACTGTTTAAATTTCTGCCATATGCAAGCATGTCTCCTTTTGTCAGCATCCAATCACTTCAAAATCCTTGTTTTTGGTTAAAAAAATTGAAGGACTCGATATCTAGACAAACATCAGTTATTAACAATATATGATATTATGAAAAATGACTAGGTACTAACAACTGCAATACTTCTACGCTACCCTTACCCCCAAAACTTTGTGTGCCAGTTAGTTCGACGTGTTGCTAGCTAATTCGTTCTACCTTGGGTTGCACAAAAAATTATACTGCCTTTTTTAAGGATACTTTTTAACATTTTTTTAATGTACTTTTTATTATTAATTATTTTTTTATAGATTACAAAATATCAAGACTGTATTGTTAGTATTTTTTTTTCATTCAAATTTATTGTTTAGTTATAAACATATTATTCGTCAAAATAATACTAAAAGTAATTTTTTTTATTGAAATACATATTTGAGTATATATGATATTCAGTTATAAATTAGTTCTTGTATTAAAAAAACATATATTTTATTCTTTTTATAAGAATGTTTCATTATGTTTAAATTGTAACCTTTATAGTAAAAGTTACTATTCATTAAGTTACATTTTTTAAAAGGTTTTATATTTTTAAATATAAATAAAACATAATGAAGAACTGGTACATAGAATAAAATATAAATATTATTAAATATAAAACTAATTCATAAATAAATATAAACTAAAAGAATTAAATTAATATTTTATCCTTAATTTTTTTTAACTAGAAGCAAAACCGATCACTTCATCATACCTATACGGTAATTAATTTGAACACACAACCCTGGCTGTAACCCTTACCAAAATTATAATATTTCCGAACAGCATTCGTAAAGGGAAAAGAGAGATTATATAGAAAACAAGAATGCTCTCAGACAAAATTGCACTTGGGTTATCAACCCTTGGTGACATGAAGTGATTATTATTATTTAAATTGGAAAATGGTTGGAACAAGAGAATAATGAAAAGAAAAGAGAAGAGCGATAGGGTGCATTACAGACATTGGAAGCGGAGCTCATCAGGATTAACTGTTATCAACGAATTTGCAACAGAAGCAGTCATGACGAAGAGATCAAGCTTGCAGCAATCACCAATCAGTTGGCACCAACATCAACATCGACATCGACATCAACGTCAACATGCACAAAACACAATACCCACGTGAGAGGCAAAAGGGTGCGTGACGAGAGAGAGAGAGAGAGAGAGAATAGAGAAATGGAATTGGGATCACAATTTGCGGTGGAACGAGGAGCACGGGGCACCAAATAATGCAAAAATAAATAAATAAATAAATAAAATAATTCCAAGTTTGTAGCCACAGAGATCGCTTGGTCAGAACAAAAAACCTCGTATTTACTGAGTACAAATGCTTCTGTGTTTGTTTCCGGTTTTTGCAGAGAACGAGAGGGTTTGGTGCGGTGTTGGGTTGCGCACCCCGACCTCTCTCCAATGGGTATGACAGAACAGAACAATGAGAGAGAGAACTCATGACACGTGTCCAATGGAGGTAACTTTTACGTCCGGTCATAAGTGCGACTTTAGATTTATATGACGTGTCACTCAGACACCCGGTCCTACGTGGCATGAATCATGCGTATTTCATCATCATTATTATTATTTTAATGATATTCTAAGAATATTTTTTAAATTATATTGAGAATTTGCTAGTTATTAAATGAAAATATCAAATGCATTTTACATATTTAACATATTAAATGTATTTTTAATTTATAAAATGTTCACAACAATAAAATTATTATTAAAAATATGAACGTCACTCTCTAATTATTATTGGAGGGGTATTATTACGGTAAGCTCAAATACTAAACAAGAATAAATTAGATTTAAGATTCCACGTTTCTGTTACATGGAGCTTTCAATGTTATTTTTCCTTTTCTTGATGCGTAATCCACTCGAAATGATTGGCAGTATCAACATTCCAACCAAATACTTTTGATTAAAGTGAAAGCGGAAGCAAAAATAAAAATAAAAATAAAAATGGACGCCACTAGAATTAAAGTATACAGTGTGTATACTCGTTTGGACGCCAATAGATGGAGTTGTTTAGTAAATTGTTTATTTTAATGATTACTGTTTTAAAACAAATCATAAGAATTTACAAATTACAAATTTAATATATTAAATTATATAATGATTTGAATATATTACTAATACAAATTGACCATTTATTATTATTTTATTATATGTTCTTATATACATACTAAAACCAAAAAAAGTTACTCATCAATATAGTTGAATTGAATGGCTTTAATCTTTAAATTTTAAGTGTGGTAATTTTATCTTAAATAACAGGTTTTGCTTTCTTTTAAAATTATTATTTTTAAATAATTATAAAAACATCATATCATTTTATCTATAAATATTTTAAAAAATTATATTTTAATGATTTCTTATGAAAAATAAAATTAAATGGTATTAATTATTTTTTTTATAAATATATGAAAAAAAAACCCTTGTGTGTATCAACTATATATTTTTTTAATCTTTATGGTGCGTCTAAATTTGGTGAAATGTGAATAAACTTAAACAAAATTTTTGAAATAAATTCTCATTCTAGTCTCTAGAAAACATCAATCCTTTAATTTAATTCATGATTTTATAAAATTTTAACTTTAATTACTAATTTTAAAAATGAAATTTAATTTTGTTTTTTTGTAGAAAAATTACACGAAAGACAAAATAAAGAAAAAATAAGGGATATTTTACAAATTAAATTAATTAAAAATTTCGTTTGATAAAAAACTAAAATAATTGAAGCTTATCTTCTCAAGACCAAAAATAAGAATTTACTTAAAAACACTTACATCGATCCTCATTTCAAGATTTGAAAAGCTATAAGAATTGTGAGAATCTTTAAGCTTGAAAAAAAAACTATTAGGCTAATTTTCCGTGCCATACATATTTTCATAATTCATTCAATATTTATTAAAACAAAATTTGAAAATAAAATATCATCTATAATCTTTTTTAATATGATCCTAGCAATAATTTAATCTAAAAAGTAATTTTATATGATAAAATCTACCCTGATTTGATCTACCACAGTTGATTCATCAATTCAAACTAAACCTTAAAAGAAATAAATTCACATAATAATTCTTTACAAACAAATTTAACTGAATGCCACATAAATCTTGGTTTAATTACCTACATTTCATATGCATAGAGAATCATTGTCCAAATAGACATTTCACATAAATGATTATCTGATTTCAGTGATTAATGTCTCATATGCGTGTAGGGGGAAAAAATCATACAAATGGATGACAAAAATCAATTAAATTGGTGAAAAAAATTACGTAAATAGAATTTTTTTCAGAAGGGAAAAAAATAAAAACCATATTCATGGACTAAAAACTGAGTGTAAAATATTATCCAAAATCATAACGAAACTAGTGTAAATGTGTGTTTGAGAAGAAACCTAAGTTTACATGTTAATCTTCAAAGTTATTTTGTGCAATCCTTTTGTTTAAATATTGATTATCTAGTCTTTTTATTTATTCCTATCAAGTTTTCACTGGCAGCAAAACTTTATGGAGATAAAACCGATCATTAACAACAATTAGCCCAAAGTTATGTCATTTTAATTGGAGGCCCTAATTGGTGTGGTACATTATCTATCTAGCTCCGAAGCACGGGTATGCCAAAATAGGAGATGTATTGGTACCAAATATCCGGTACTAGTACTTGTTGGGTATGTACCCGGTACGTACCGAAAAATATTTTCAAAAAAAAAAAAAGGTACATTGTGGGTACATATTAGGTATATTTTTGATACATGTATCTATTAAAAAAATGTCATTTTTTAATTATTAATACTCTGCTTTTTCAGTTTCTTCTTTTTATGTCTTTGTGCGCTAAATCTCAAATCCGAACACAGCTGGTGGAGGCAACGCAAACTTCCTCTTTTCATCTCACACCTCATAGAACTTTACTTCCCTTCAACCTCACTTCTCATTTTCCCCAAAAAACCAATCTTTCTCTTCCTCCACATGCCACTTCCTTTCGGTGAGTCACATTTCTATTTTGGACTTATCTTTAATTTCTATTACAACTTCAAAAAGTTTCGATTTTTACTTGTTCTTCTATGTTTCTCCATTTGGGGTGTATGCAATTGTTACTCTGTAGAATCAATGTGTGTTTGGAAACACGTTTGAAAAACAAATCTTAATTCAAAAGCTGGAAACGTAAAAGTTACAATATGCAGTGTTGAAGTAAATGTGGTTTCATTGTTAATTAAACGTGAATTCAAACACGTTGTTAGTCACCAAGTTTACTAGGTCTCTGGGGTTCAACGAGAACTGGTGGATCCGCACAAAGGAAAGTGACCATGTCACCATGCAGGCAATTGGGTTTCATGAATATTCTTGATTAGAAAAAAGTTAACAACTTGGGTCTGTTTTCTGTTTTCATGAATATTCTTGATTTAATTGCATTTTTATGTTCTGCAGTGTCTTTGCCTAGTAGACCAACTTAGTGAGCAAGCCAAGGAGGTGGCCAACTTTCATCTCTAGCGTCAGACGTGTATCCTCCCTTTTCAATTTCAAGTTTGACTGCTGTATTTTAATTGACACCAATTTTAATTTTTATTCTGCTACAATTGTATTGTTGTTTTGATTTGGGCTTATGATAGATAGTTTCTTCTTGTTAAATTTAATTTATTAATCATAACAAAAAAAATTTTAGGCATTTGATTTGGTAAAAAGTTTTATGCAATTTTTTTTATTATTAAATTTACCTTTGGATGCTTATTGTATGATTGAATGGTTATGTTGATTTGTCAAAATGTCTTCTTCACACCATTCCAGTAGTGGGTCTACAAATATCTCCCCTGTCTCTTCTATATCCAATAGTAGTAAATTTGCTTTTGGAAGTGTTGAGGGTTAATGTCCTCTTTGGGCCTATGTGACAATTGTACAAAGTAAAAAAGATGGAGGAGGGAATGCTAGATGAAAATGAAATTATTGCAATGCAATTTACAATGGTTCTTACTCTAGAGTTAAGAATCATTTGTTGAGGGAAAGGGACGCGATGTAGCAATTTGTACAGAAGTGTCAAATGAATGTATTGAAGAAATGAAACAAGTTGAGAGAATGGCTGTTGAGAAAGCTAAACCTGTGCAAGTGCCTTTACCTACTGGAACAACAAGTTTGAATCCACCTGTGGATGGGAGCAAGAGAAGAAGAGGAGGACCATTGGAAAGGGTGTTTAACAATACGGCTAGAGATCACTTGACTTGTGAAATTGCTAGAATGTTTTATTCAGCCGGTTTGTCATTCAATATTGCTCGTAATCCATATTTTGTTAGTTCCTACACATTTGCTGCTAACACTCAAATCTTAGGTTTTCTTCCACCGGGTTACAATGCTATAAGAACTTCACTCTTGCAAAAGGAAAATGCCAACATAGTAAAGTTACTCCAACCTATCAAAGACACTTGGCCAAAAAAAAGTCTGAGCATAATTAGTGATGGTTGGACTGATGCACAAAGAAGACCACTAATTAACTTCATGGCGGCATGTGATTCAGGTCCTATGTTTTTTAAAGCAATTGATGGATTTGGTGAATATAAGGACAAGAATTATATAACAAACCTCATTCTATCTACCATTGATGAAGTTGGAGCACAAAATGTTGTCCAAATAATCACAGATAATGCACCTGTTTGCAAAGCTGTTGGATCTATTGTGGAATCTGTGCATCCTCATATTTTTTGGACACCTTGTGTTGTGCACACAGTAAATCTTACACTCAAAGGTATTTGTTCTCCGAAAAATACACCAGCTAATGAGGTTGCTTATAATGAGTGTAGTTGGATCTCTCAACTTCCTGATGATGCATACTTCATAAGAAATTTCATTATGAATCATTCTATGAGACTTGCCATGTTAAATCAATTTAATAATTTAAAATTATTTTCCATTGCTGAGACTCGATTTGCATCAACTATTATAATGCTTAAAAGGTTGAGAACCCTTAAGCATGGTCTTCAAACTATGGTGATTAGTGAGCAATGGTCTCATTATAAAGAAGATGATGTCCCAAGAGTTACCCTTATGAAAGAAACAATTCCAGATGACAGTTTTTGGGATAAGATTGCTTATATCTTAAGCTTCACGAACCCTATGTATGAGATGCTTCATTCTTGTGACACCGATGAACCAACTCTTCATTTGGTTTATGAAAAATGGGATGCCATGATTAAGCAAGTGAAATATGCAATATATCAACACGAGGGCAAGGAGTTAAATGAACATTCATCCTTTTATGAAGTGATGTATAACATTTTGATTGATAGGTGGACTAAAAGTAACACACCACTTCATTGCTTGGCTCATTCACTAAATCTTAGGTAAAGTTAATTAATTTGCATATTTTAATTTATTTTACTTGTTAGGTTATAGTGAACTAACTTTAAGTTATTGATAGGTTTTATTGTAGGCAATGGCTTAATGAAGCACCAAATCGAGTACCTCCACACAAGGACAATGAGATTTGTATAGGGAGAAACAAATGTTTAAGAAGCTACTTTTTGTATCCAAGGAAAAGATTAGACGCAACACAGGAGTTTGTTAAATTCTCAAGTGGTGGAGAAGAGATTGGAAAATTTGATTGTTTACAAGATAGGTGGAACTTGAAGCCAAAAGAATGGTGGGTCATGTATGGTGCTGCACTTCCTAAACTTCAAACCATTGCTTTAAAGGTCCTTTCACAACCATCATCTTCTTCTTGTTGTGAGTGAAATTGGAGCACATATTCTTTCATTCATTCCATGAAAAGAAATAGGCTCAACCCTAAGAGGGCTGAAGATTTAGTTTTTATACATACAAATCTTTGATTGCTCTAAAAAAAGAGTAAAAATTATTATGAGGGTGAGACCAAAATGTGGGATATTGGTAGTGATGAGTGGGATCCATTTGCAAATGTTGCTTTTCTTGAAGTTGCTACTCTTTCCCTTGATGAACCAAATTTAGAAGCAGTGCTTTTTACTGATGGTAAAGAAGGGAATGATGAGATTGACACTGTTAGAATATAAATGTTTAACCTTTTTGTTGTTGATTGTAGAACAATTTATAAATTTATTTTTATTGGAATCTTATTTATTGAACTATATAATTTACTTTATGTTATATCATTTTGAATGAATTGTTAGATAATTTTATGCTATTTAATTATGTTTATATTAAATTTTATTTATTTATTTATATTATATATAGACATACCCGTACCCTAGTTTTAAAAAAATTAGCATATCCTGTACCCGTACGCGATATTGGTACCATACCCGTATTCACGCAACGTAGCTATCTAGAGATACTAGAATATTACTGTCAACGAAAGACCTTATGCACTTTCTTAGGTACTTTTGTAACTAATTTCAGATTTATGTTTATCACTTACTTTTATTTACTTGTAATTTATAAAGAGTAACTTTTGAGTTTTTAATATAATAATCGCAGTCAGTATTGCATTAAAAAAGTAACATAGTTGGTAAAATTATTATACTATTATAATACATTTAAATTTAATTTTTTTTATTTATATACTAAATTTTGATTTATAAATAAAAAAAATTAAACAACTCTAAAAAAATGATGTTTGGTTTCTCCCTTCCTTCAGAAACAACTGGTTCTAAAAAGATGATGTAAGATTATTTAATAAATTCTTAAGTCTTATTGTAAGAGACTTTAAACTATTTCCAATCAACTTTTTGAATTAATATATGTTAACAAGTTACGTCTTACGTATATATATATATATATCGTAGCATACTAAAATATTCTTTAGACAATTACCATTCAACCATTATCAATTTTGATTTGACATGATTTAAAATTTATTTTTATTTTATAAAATAATAAATAATTAATTATAATTATTAAATTTTTATAATTTATTTGAAATCAGTTGAAAAAAAAATTAGACTTTTATCTTCTAAAGTTTATTTGTCTTCAATAAAAGGTTAGTAAAAATTTTAATAATTACGTTTATTATTTGTGTAATTCCTTATATAGTGTAGTAAAAGGAAACAAATGAGACAATGTTTGGCTAATACTCAAGCAAAGGTGTTAAAGAGACTGTTCATCTTGAATTTTCATCTTAAAACATGAAGCTTTAGAATCATAGTCCCAAGTCATAAATATCACTTCAAAGGTTTGTCAATTTTAAAAGAGGCATGATTCATGATCACAAATAATCCTAAGAGATGTGCGTGATGGATAAGAATATCAGACTTTGTTATGCACCACTTCATGTTAATATACCATTATATACATAAGTGAAATGTTATTATATAGATTAGAATATCAGGCCTTCACGGTCAGTGTCATGCAGCTAGAGTAGCTTTTGCATTAGAAAACAATTGTTTACTTTAGTTTTCAAGATTGAAATTAAATATTTAAAATAATAACAGTTATTGTATTTTCATTTTTAAAGTGATAAATAAATTTTTAATAAAATTTCTTAAACTGTAAAAATTTAAGATTAGCATCTTAAAAAATATTATAAGGAAAACCAACAGAGATAAAGAATATCATATGTATATACTTTTTATAAAATAAAATAATATAATATAAAGTTTAAAAGAGAAAAATAATATTAAAAAAATAGTATATTAATTAATCTTCATGTCAGAACAGTATTTACCGTCACAAAGTTGCTCCAAAGTCCAAACATATCGATCCATCTTTCCCTGTAATGAACGTGTCGAGTGTCTTCGAACAGAATTAAACCCAATGAAACACCGCTATTTTGACACCGAACTCTGAGCAAGAAAATAAGGGCTCATCTCTGTCTGCATAATTTCAAACACGTGTAAATTTTTGTAGAAGAAAATCGTAGTAATTTTAGTTACACATGAAATGAGAATGTAAAAGAGTAGCGGAACGAGAAGCCAGGTGTAGCCGCCAAAGTGAACGGTGGTGGACGGCCGAGTCATTCTACACCACCCGTCAAGAAATCCACGTGGCAATTCACGAGTTCATAAACTATTGCCACGTTTTCCTCCTCTCTGGCGACATTCTCGCTCTTCCTCATATCTCTCCCAAACGCATTTGGCTTCCACTCTAATCCGAAGCGTTCCCACGCGCTCAATTGGAACATACCAAACAACCATGTCAAAGAATGGATTTCTCCTAATAAGAGGGAAAGAATGGAGCCTGAACACGCACCGTTACACGGTGCTGTTGATTACGTTCGTGGCGTACGCGTGCTACCACGCGTCAAGAAAGCCGACGGGGATAGTGAAGAGCGTGTTGTGCCCGGAGCATCAGAGGGCTCGGCAGGGGTGGAGGCCATTCAACGGTCACGATGGGACGTCGAAGTTGGGGGAGATCGACGTGGCGTTTTTGGCGTGTTACTCTGTCGGAATGTATGTGGCGGGGCATTTGGGAGATACCCTCGACCTTCGGTTGTTTTTAGCGACGGGAATGGTGGGGAGTGGAATCTTCGTGGGGCTATTCGGAATGGGGTATTTCTGGAATGTTCATGAGTTTTGGTTCTACCTTTCCATGCAAATGATTGCAGGAATGTTTCAAGCCACGGGTTGGCCTTCCGTTGTGGCTGTTATTGGTAATTGGTTTGGGAAGAGGAAGAGGGGTCTTATAATGGGGGTTTGGAATGCCCATACTTCTGTTGGTAACATTAGCGGTTCTCTTCTTGCTGCTAGCGTTTTGGATTATGGTTGGGGCTGGTCTTTTTTGGTTCCTGCAGCTTTTATTATTTTTGGTGGGATTATTGTTTATTTGTTCTTGGCTGCTTATCCTGAAGACGTTGGCTTCTCTTCCATTCATGGTGATGAAGAGGCTCAGAGGAGAAGAAGTGTTGGTCTTTCCAGAGAAGGTTCCGTCAGTAAGAAGAGCATTGGCCTTCTCGATGCGTGCTTGATTCCTGGTGTAATACCTTTTGCTTTGTGCCTTTTCTTCGCCAAGCTTGTTGCCTACACGTTTCTTTATTGGTTACCATTTTACTTGACTCAGACAGGTGATCATCCACCCTAAGTTTTTTGTTTCTTCTTCTTCTTTTAAGGCATGATTCATCGTAAGTTGTTTAATAGTTTTCTTCTTCTAATCAAGATAATATTTTCTCGCAAGTAATTTATTTGTTGTTTTTAAAAATATCAGGGGGGTTATTTGTTCAAGCAAGTCTTTTTTAACAATTTTTTACAATACCGTCGAAAATTTTATTTATTTATTTATTTTATCTTATCATTCATTCTCTTACACCTTTTTCTTATCTTTTTAATTTATAGAAAAATTATGCGATTATATTTTTTTCTTCTTTATATCAGTGTTGCTGCTTTACTTATCATATATTTTCCTTCTCTGTTCTCATTTGTTTATCTTTTATTACGGTTATACACTCAGTGAGACTACATAATGATGCTTTTCTATCTTTATATATGCGATATAAAGGGTGATTTTGACGTTGCAGAAATTGGAGGGAAGTATATCTCAGTTAAATCTGCTGGAAACCTTTCAACGATGTTCGATGTAGGGGGTATTGTTGGGGGTATTCTTGCTGGGTACATATCTGATAAACTCAATGCCCGTGCTATAATAGCGGCCAGTTTCATGTATGCAGCCATTCCTGCCATGCTTTTATACCGACATTATGGAAGTGTTTCTATGAATGCCAACATTGGACTTATGATAGTGACTGGATTATTGGTAAATGGGCCTTATGCACTTATCACCACTGCTGTTTCAGCTGACTTGGGTACACACAGTTCTCTCAAAGGAGATTCTCGAGCTCTAGCTACGGTAACCGCTATTATAGATGGTACTGGATCAGTTGGTGCAGCTCTTGGCCCTCTTCTTACAGGGTTCATATCAACAAAGGGATGGGATCAGGTTTTCACTATGCTAATTATTGGGGCTTTTATTGCCGGGCTTCTTTTGTCACGTTTGATCATGGCTGAAATTGCAGAAAAAACTGGCAAAACTTTATCCAGCGGACAGCAAAATCCTCAAGGTAATATTTCTCGAGTTTGTAAATCTGTTAAAAGATTAACAGATAATCTGTTTCTTGCATTTATGATGGACAAAAGTTCACAAGTGCTTTGATATTCTCTAATCAAAATTGGAGTTTCTTCTCCGAAATGTTTGTCAATTTTTACTATGCAGAATATCAAGGTGAAACTCTAATTTTAATTGAAGAACAGTATTGAAAGTATACTTACAAAACCGCACATAAATTTTGTCCTCAGAGAATCTAGTTCCTTGCTCATGAAGAAATCTATTCAATGGATAGTTATTGTTTACATTCCGAGTTTAAGGAATAAAAAATTATGTATATATAAATATAGTATCTAGCCATTCTCCTTTGAAATTGCATGCCAGCATGGTGTCCCACCTTCTGTGTTCGTTACTTCATTTTCTTTGCCCATAATATTAAGAAATAGAACTCTCATGTCTGAATTACATGAAACTCGGATCTTGCATTTTGAATTATGAATTTGTCTACATCAATCATCCCTTGTAATATTTTTGACATACCGTTGATCTTTTGCAGCCACTGCATCTCAACCGCTTCTGGAGGAGGAAAGGTGACACTGATCAGGACCTGATGAATTGTCAAGCATAATGCTCAAAACTTGGGTTTTAATATGAGAAAGTAGTAAGATTTTGTTAATGACTATGACTCTAGCTTGCAGATAGCACCCACTTCATTGTTCATGTTGCTGATGAGCAAATGAACAAGTAGACTTACATCCATTCATTCAGCTCTCCGATCAGTTTGTTGTCTAGTCTCTAGAAGGTTTCCAATTAAAGGAGGATCATGGCTCCACAATTGGGAATGGAAATTGCTTCCTTTCTCATGGTGAATTGACTTTCCTAAGGGGATTAATTGTGGAGGCTGATACTGCTTCTACTCACTTCGTGACACTAGATCTTCCAAACTGATTTTACATGCAGTTTGCTTTTTGCCTTAATTCTTGTGTCACAACACACATTTATGGAGCCTCCCTTTTCAATTTTGTAGCAGATTAGGATATACACCAAAGTTTCACAACCTGAATCCCCCTCCACCCATCTCAAATCTTGTTATCATCAGATTTCGACAATTTGACTTGTGTATGCAAATAAATAAATTAATCACGGTACACACTAATTATGATACGTGTGTTTAGTCTTGTTTGTAAATCCTGCTTGATATATGAGTAACGGGTAGATCATTATTTTCTGGTCAGCATTTTAGGCTACCTTTATGAATTACTAAGGAAATTATTCGAAGGTGAGAGCTAACTGATAAAGATTATGAACATGAATTGAATGAAGGCATAATGTACATTTCAACCTAAACTTTTGTTTCGAGGATGCCGTTCATTTTCCTGTTTCTGAAAATGGCCATATCCTTGAAGGCGCAACAGAACTAAGGTGTTTGGTTAAGATTATAGAAGTGGTGTTATGCCTCTAATAAAAATGGTTTACAACTTTATCATAATTATCCTTTTAATTTCGTTTGTTCAGTTCCTTTTAATTTTATAATATATAATACAATTAAATAAAATTTTATATAATATACTAAAATTAAGAGGTTAACACTAATATCATATATATATATATATATATAAAATATTATAAAGTGAGCTAAATTTTTTAACTCATCGCCAAAATTAACATGAAAATAGAAAAATTATAAAAATAAATAAATTATAAATATATTAAATATGAATATAAAAATATGACAGTAGAATATTGTGACAGAAAATTAAATTTTCATTTATATGTTAATTGTTATATTATAAATGTAATTGTGAAACAATTTATAAACAAAAAGAAAAAAGGTGAGCTCGTAGATTAAATCATTTAACTTATATTTTATAATAGATAGAGCTAGATTAATAAATTTAATCTATAATTAAATTAATCTAACTCAATTCAAAAATTTTGCTGGCCTAGGATGAACCATCCCAAATGGGCCAAATTGCCATAAATTGAAACATCTAATGACAAGCACAGAAGGCATACAAAAAAGAAAGAAAAGCTACATAACGAGCATGGGATTTCTGTGAAAGTTCATTACACAACCCAGCACGTGACATGGATTATGTGAGTCCATTAATATCTGTTATGGGTACAAAGTGAACAATCAAAATACGACTGGGAAATAATAATAGTTGTATTTGATGGAGTATTTTCATGAATCTAACCGTCAAAGCAACCTTTCAATTAAGATAATAACTAAGCAAAGTTCTCGAAAAATAGTGGAAAATACTAATCATATATTTTGCAAGCCCCATCACGCCACAACTGAATATATGTATTTTTCATCGCAAAGAAAGGGATATGAAACTTTATTTCTTTATATCCCTTCCACAAAGTCCCTTTTCTTGCATCAGAGACTTGTATTTTTCGTCCTTTTACCTAAAGCCCTTTCCCTACCCGCGCTGGGCCTGCGAGGGTAAGCTTCAATTATGCTTTGGACCAAAACAAAGGTTCCAATTATGCTCATCTTAAATTGTTTTCCTGTTCTTCTATGAAATTTCAATATTGCATTTTCATATTTACATACAAAAGACTGTAAAGTTCACTCAAAAAGAAATTAAAAGTTAATCATGTAATTCATCAAAGTTCTCAATTACCTAATGAAATCTTTCAGAAAAGAAAGAGGAAAAGATATATTTTTAAATAACATTTTCTAATTTTATAATTGTTTTAAAATAATTCATAATGTATTAGCATAAATTTATTGTATTAATCTTTTATTTTTTTCATACATACTATATAATTTTAAAACTTAAAAATAAAATATACTTTAAAGGAATTTAAACATTTAGGTACATTCTCAACACAACCATTTCATTTAAAAGGAGAGGGAAATATTAGCGTATTGATACATTTAAAAGACTACTCTTCTTAGCATAGGTTTAAAATCACATTTCTTTATTTTTATTTTTTTTTATCTTTAAATAGGTTAAAAAAATAATACTATCTCTTAGTTATTAATTTTTTCTTCTAAAATGTCATATTTCAATTGAAAGATAGAAAATGAGGATTGGTTATTTGACTCTCAACATACATGATAGGATTGTCAAATTCATGCAATAATTTCTTTATAAAAGACATAAAAGTTTAACAAAGTTATGATGCATCTAAATTATTTATTTCATTACCAAATTTTTTTTAATACACTCTTATCAAATGATAATTTATTCGTAAACTTAACCGAAACTCATTAAAATAAGTTTTTAAAAAAATTCGCAAACATGTTTTGTAAGAGAGAATCCTATTCAAGATATGATCGTGCATTGAATATGGCCAGTTAAATTCTAAAATGGAAATTTCCATTCGTCACTTGGTAAGAGATTTAGTCCCTTTTACTTGATTTAATTATTGTGAAATTTTATTTTAATAATTTTTTCATAAAATCTATTAAAACAAACTAAAAAAAATTACAAGATATAAAACTAATTCATTAATCCAAATAAATTTCTTCCAATTGTCAGATAAGAACATACAAAATCATATCAAATTTGAAAACAATAATTTTATTAGGAAAATAATATGTTTGCAAGCGTGTGAGTGTATTCAGTCATTGAAGAAGAAAACTAAAAAATAATAATAAAATGAAATAGAAATAAAAATATAAAAATTTATTCAATTTTAAATTATTTATTCTAACCCGCTTCCCCTCAATGGGTGTCAACCTCAGAGTCTTACACATGATGATTATATACGGAAGAATAATATTAATTTATTATTATTATTTCTGTTATTTAAAATATTAAAAATTAATATTATATTTTCAATTTTTAATTTTTTATATACACATTTTAAAATATATTATAAATACAAAAAAATATCTTTAAGTGTTCACATTTAAATGTTCAAACAATAAACTATACTAATATTTTATTAAATAAACATTAAATATAAATATAAATAAATTTAATGTTTCAAAAGTATATAATAATAAATTTAATTTTTTATTTAACAAGAAAGAAATTTAGAAAAAATTTAAATAAAAGAATTCTTACAAAGAGCATTGGTGTATTTCAGTGTCACCCAACCCAACCGTAGACTTATTAACTTTGCTTTTGGTGTTATATATAAATCTGAAAGCCCCTTTGCCCTCTTCGTGTTGAGAACCACTCACTCCCTCTGCTGTCGTTCGTGTCAAACATCTCTCTGTGTTACCGCAGTTTCCTCAGATACCCACAATTGAGCGTTGTATAGCGATGGCGATGGCACGTGCCGTGCTCATGCTGGCCATGTCCTTAATTCTCGTGACAATGTCCACAGCCCAAGCCCCCTCACCCGCACCTACACCCACACCCACGGGCTCATCAACACTGGCCCCTACCACTTCTTCTCCTCCTCCAACCTCCCCACTTTCATCGCCCCCAAGTGCCCAAAGCCCAGGCCCATCTCCTTCGCCATTGTCACCGTCCGTTGCGGAATCTCCGGCGCCCACAAGCCCGAACAGCGCGTTCCTACATGGAGCTGGCTTTGGCTTCATGCTACCACTATTTGCAGGACTGCTTCTCGTTCTTCCTTGAATTTAACTTACACTTTGGGACATCTCTTCGTTTGTCTACCTTTTTTTTCTACCTCCTCCTGTGTTTTCTTTTCATTTGGATTCCGTGGATGACTCTTGGGATCTATCTTCACTCCCTTGTTAGAGATTGAAGCCATGTTGCCCTTACATGCCCTTTTGTCACATTTTAGCATTTTGTAGCTCACCCAATAAGAAAGATTTCGTTTTTTATCCTTTTTTTTCCATCCATTGTCTTATTTTAGCGGTTTATATATATATATATATATATATATATATATATATATATAATTAATTTTTAATTAACTGTTTTTATTATGGACTTTGAACACATTAAAAAATTATTAAATTAAATGAGTATACACTTGAAATTTTGTTTCATAAGTACACAAACAATATCAACTTCTCGCTTAATTATATATACATTGTTAAGGTTAAAATATTTTCCGTTGATTAAAAAAGACTTTGACAATTATTTAAGTTAATTTGTAATAGTAAATTAACCTAAAATATTTTGCATGGTATTAAAGCCTATATAGGAAACTTCACGCAAAGATCGAGTGGAGGGTGTTATCTTTTATTCTTAATAGTATATAGCCTGCTTGTGCCAAAACCAGAATCGATTTTGCCAGAAGCGGTACTTTATCAATACTAACATTCTTTGGATTTCATGAAAATAAAACTACAAACCGTCCATCCAAATACGTAAAATCGATTATTGACTTCACATCGTGGATTCAAACAGGCTCATAGTTTATTGTTTGGAAGGTGCTTCCTTTCTTCGTTTTTTTTTTCCGTCCAAAGGTGCTTTCATTCTTCATTAGAGAATGTTTGTATTATAACCATAACCGGTTTTCTGAGAAAGATGAATTTGCCTCAGATTAGACAAATTTTTGAGTGAAAATAAAAATGAAAAAGTAAAATGAATTAAATTCTTTCATAACGTAAAACCATTTTAGTTTTTCAACTGTTTATAAACCTTTTTATTTAATTTTTTCAAAACTTTAAGGGTATAAAATAATTTTAACTAGTGAATTTGTTTTATTATTTTCTTATAAGCACTTATCTAAAAATTTATTTAAAGTTGACTTTATCACTGTCATTCATAGTGGTTCAATTTCGTGGAAAACAAATAATTGTAGTCCACTGGGAACTGAAACTCGGTTACACAAATTCTGAACGTGTAAAGGGTAGATAGACACGATGAAGCGTCGCAAGTGGCATAAATTTTGAGGTCAATATTATGTGGGGGGAGAGGGAGGAATGGGAGACAGAAAAAGGTTAGATGCTAGCTGTGGAGAGAGGAATATGTTGGAGAAAGCGTTGAAGCTGAGTTTGCTTTTGGTGTTGGAAATGTGGCTCTCTGGAATTGCATGTGACTGTAAATGAAATGGAAAAAAGGTGAAGTAAACGGAACGACTAGTTCTAGTGGTGAAAGAATAAGAAGAGGATTGCATCAGTGGACCTTTCAAGTGGCAATTCAATGTGAGTGGAACACTTGTAACCACACAACAGGAAAAGAAAAGAAAAAGAAAGTGATGTGCACAATTGCACATGTCTCTGTCCTGGCTACACAATTTCACAGAGAGATTACATGAAAAGGCAATGCATACAAATTGTTTATGATGGTTTAATGATCTGGTCATGATAAAAGACACGACTATTTCTTTGTCCATATGTCTCTCCTAGTTATATTGACTTGCAAGCTGAATGTGTGGTCAATATTTGGTTGACAATTATTCCAAACAAAGCCCACTAATGAATTGTGATCTGGGAAGGGGAACACGTTGTCCTTGTCACCCTAATCATTTTATAGGGTTTTTGACTCAATTAAGTGGTTCTTTAGATTCCACCAATATTGCTTTAGAATTTTTCATTTTTTTGGTCAAAATATTGCTTTGGATTTGCTTGTCTTTTTCCTCTTTTTTTTTTTTTTGGTTAATGGGTTGTTTGCATCTTTTGACTAAGTAGATTTACCAAGAAGATTTGTTTGTTCCGCATTCCAGCGAGAAAGCAGAAGTGAGAGTGTGAGACAGTTTTGTTATTTGGTCCATAATTCAGGACAAGAGGAGCCCAACAATAGCCCATAAAGGCCCAGTCAGTAAACAGACAATAACTATGTAACGAAGCATTCTTACTTTTGACTTTTGGCCAAAAACAAAAAAATACATGGTTTAATAAATATATATGATTTGAATTAATTTAGATATATCTCAAGAACATTTAACAATTTAAAATTAACTGCATCAAAATTAATATTATTAATCTTAAATGAATCAAACATCGCTACTACTTCAGGCCCAGTTTATTCAGTTTTCTTTTAATTTATTAAAGATACACAAATTACTTTTTATCTTAAAGTTTTGAGTAATAGGGCTCATTTATTATAATTGACAAAATTATATTGCTATGCATCGACTTCATAAATAAGTTCACATCACAATCAGCTAATTAGTAGTCGTACCCTAGCAGTGTTATCTCCATTTCATTAAAATGGCCTTTAATCGATCAAAAATAATCGTCCAAAAACAAATTGGCCTTTGGAACCCTACACCAAACTTTGCTCATAAAAGGTATAAATTATTATATCATACAAAGTTCAAAATTAACATTTTTATTTGATACAAACCTCTTTTAAAGATTTAATATAATTTTTGTAAAAGTTTAGTATAATTTAAATATCCATTTAAAAACCCGCCTAATAATACCTATAAATAGGCCCCTACACTCGGAACAAGTTATCGGACCTAAACTATAAACATGCTGACAAAAGAATATGATTATAACATGACAATTAATGTAAAATAGTTTAATTTTAACGGATTATTACTATAATTTTTTATTTTATTAATCATTTAGACTATACGATAAATATTTTTTAAATAAATTATTATAAAAATTATTTTTTTTATTAATATGATAAACCATATTTAAATGACAATGTCAAAAAATTTGACGCTATTAATACATTAAATTTAAATTGAAATGAAATTAAAATTAAATTAGTTATATATTTTTAAACTATATATATTTATACATATAATATAAAATTTTTAAATTATATATATACATGTCATAATTAAATAATTAGTCTCTAAAAATATAATTATTTTTTGTTTCAATTCATATGAAAAATTTATTTAATTTTGGTCTCTATATTTAATAATAAAAAATATGATTTTAGTCCCTTGTCAAAGATTAAAACTTTTTATTTTTTATTTTTTAAAAATTAAAATAAAATTAAGTTTTATAAGAACTAAAATAAAAATAATAATATTTATAAAACTAATTACTTAATTGAGCATGTATATATAATATTTATATGTATTATATAAATCAAGATGTCATACATCAAAACCTTTTATCAACCTATCTATCTATAAATATAAACATAAAAACTAAAATCACCATGCCGTGCATCAAAACCTTTCAGTGAAAGTCTAAAGTTTAACCTATTTAACTAATTTTTTTTTATTTAAATGTCAAGCAATAAATCTCTAATAAACTAGTTTATCTACTTTTACCCCCACTTTTCTTACCTATGATTTGAATGAGTTGATTGAATTAGGCTAAGTTTCAACTCAAGTAAAATACCTCTATATAATTTGATCGTTAAAGTTGTTTTTATTTTATTTAAAGAAATTACATTTTTAAAATTTAAATTTCATACTATTCATCAAGTTAAAATAACTCTTAATTAATTAATTTACACATTTAATGATAAAAGTGTAGAGGGAGACTTGAACATAGTATCTTTGACATTGGTGATATTTGTCTTGAAGTGGTTCTTCGTTGGTGTGTGTTCAAAGTAATCTGGCAATGGAGTTGTAAGTGATCCTATAAAAAATACTCAAACGCTAAAGTTAGGAAGAGTCTTAGATTGTGAAGTTTTTGAGTCTGACAAACCTTGCGTTCTCGTCTTCTCAAGGTTTGGTCTCCCATTACGACACTGTCCATTGGATTAATATTGTGTGACAGGATTTTTCCTTATGAGACAAGACACTTTTTAAGAAGTTTTAGATTATTTTTGAAAGTTGAATTTAGGAAGAGAGAGGAAGGGAATGAAGGAGTTAGAAAGAGTTTAATTTTGAGAGTTACTTAATTAATAAAGAAAGTTTTGGAATTTTTTTTCTAAATCCTCCGAAACTTTCTAAAAGTTAATTTTTTTAAGTTTTTCCATTTTAAAGATTTTGTTTCTCTTACTCCCTCGTACTATTTTATAAATAATATTTTAATTTTTTAAAAAAATATTAGTTTTTTAAATGATAATTTTTAAAAAAATAAAAATATTAATTTGTATATTATAGTTAGTTTAACTCCTTATTTATTTTATTTATCTATAATTATCATTTGGTGAGGTTTTGTCGCTTTATAATACATGAAAATGTTGAGTACTTTTTTCCCACAAATTCCTTTCTAATCACAATTTTATAATATTTTCATTAGAATACTGTCATTTTGTTTAAGAGTTAAATATTTTTATCTGAAAAGGATTATGAATTTATGCAGTATATTTAAAATTTAGAATTATAAAAGATGTTGTAAGTTTTAAAAATAGAACCCAAGGAAAAAGAAACGGAAGTTTGAGTATATGACTGCAGAAATTGAAATAAATATATGAAGTGTCAATAATGCCCAAGGAAGCTTTCGTGGTGATTATGAATAATTGCATCAGTGATAATGTTACAATCAAAACCATTTTCCAGGTTGGTTTTTTCTACAGGGAGACTATAATCACAGCAGAGACATTGTCCTCTTGGCATGGGATTACTGAAACGTGTCCATCAGCAACTGATCCAATCCAACGAGAAACAATGACCGGCTTGTTTCCTTCATAAAATGTTACATCGTAGTCTCCAAAATCATTCCACGTTGCACCAATTATTTCATTATTTAGGTTTAGCTGCAACATCTCCATACCCGTACTATAACCACTTTTTACAATTTTGATGACCTCAGAGGATTCTTTCACTAACACACTAAAATTTGACCCCACTTTTTTGCAAAGCTTTTGCTCCGCTTCCGCAACACATTGCATGGCTAATTCCCTCCACAATTCCTTGTTGAAATTTAGGTCTTTGGCAGTGAACTTGAATATCATAGTGTGAATTTCATTTTTGCTGGGGGTGCGGCTGATCAAATCAGTGGGGAGAGACTCATGATTTTGTGTGAGAAGAGGGTGGTAAAATAAAGGAGTTTTGATCTCTTCATTTTGGATTAACACACTGTTGTGAATTTCGGTCCATTTCTTGAGGAAGTTCTCTAAGATCAAAATATCTGCCAAGAGGAGGCTACAGCCAATCCCAACCGAGTATCCTCCACATTCAAAATGAGTCACCTTAACAAACAAAAATAAATTGAGCTCTTCGGACTTGGAGCGCGGTTAATGCACAACCTTACTTATCTTATATATGCAAAATTTTATTTTTTTATTTGAAGAATGGGAACAATGAAACCCAAAATTCTAGACCACTTGATCAGAAACACTAATACCATATCACAAATAAATTATTTCAAAATCTTATGACAACTTTAATAAGACTTACTTAAAAATAAGTAATTATATTACTTTATAAATTTTAAAAATAAAATAAAATACACGTATGGTCTTTATGAATATTTAACATTCATTTATATATTAGTTTTTGGTATTAAAAGTTACAGGCTTTTCGTGATTATTTACGTTAGTAACCGTTACATGTTAGAAAATGATAATTCCGCAAGCACAAATTTGAAGTAAAAAGTTATGTACTTTTTCTCTTCTTGCATGAATAAAGATGCTTTTAGTTGTGGGTGAAATGAATGGTTTTATATTCCTGAAGTATCGATCAAGCGTGGAAAAACACGGCATGCATGCAGTACTTGCCTGAACATAAAACAGTGGAGAAAACTGAGGATTGTGCTCATCAATTTCCTTCCAGAAGACAAGCTCAGCCTCAAGATGTTCCTTTTCACTCAAGGCAAGAAACTCTGATAACATCATGGGGAACTGTGCCTCGTAGAGTCGAACGCCCGAATCATTAGACACAATTTCCCATAATCCCATGTTATCGGTGTCACCTTGTTCCTTCCTATGGAGTCTCCCAGCAAGAAGTGGGTGCTCCACTAGAGCCCTACCCAGTGACTCTACGATCCAACCAGCCAAAACACTATCACAGTCCTCGTTCAGTTTCTCATAGTAGAGAACTATTTCATAGCACCCACCAAAGGTTTGTGAGTTTTCACTCATCAAAACCTGGCGAACTCGCCGTGGTTCTGTCACCTTTAGCGGAGACACACTCAACACCGCTTCAATCTGCAACTTTGGGAGGCTATGGGTACCATCATGAACACTCACAGGCACAGACATTGTTTCTTGAACAAATGCAGCGTCACTTTCATCGTGGCCTGACACTTCCTAGGACATATTTATAGGAAAAACTTTAGTCTTTGGACTAATTTTCCAACATATAATAATGCCTTTTATTTTATATTATTATAATTTTAAAATAATAATTTTCTGTTTAAGAATTACGAGCATGATGAATTTTTATTAAAAAATGTGCAAAGTTTAAGCTTAATAAAATGTGAATATGCGGATTGGTAGTTGGATTGCCACTGGCCACTATCCTACGTTCATAATGTTGGGGCAGATTAAAATAATGATTTGTATAAATTTGGTATACGGACTTATCTAACATTTGCACACGATGGTCTTATCCCGCAACTAGAAAGATTGCCTGTTTGGGTGTTCATGCAAAATTTGGTAATCCAACTAATCTAATCTTTCTCAATAGCTTACTAGGAATAGTAGTTAAGTTAAGTAGTAGCTCTATTATTTGCGAATGTTTACCAACACGCAAACAAGAGTTGCTCGAGTGTTAATTAAATAACTAGTTTGCACTTTTGAATCCGAGAATAGAGATGGCAACATAGATACCTTGTACAATATTTTTTTCTTTTTACAAAATATTAATTGAACTCATATTTCCTTTTTTTATTAAGAAAATGATAATATTACATGATAAATGATGTTAGAGAAAGAAAAAAACATTTTTTTATTGAATTTAATTAGTAAATTTTACAATTAATTATAATAGATTAATTAGTTTAATTTAAAATATATTTTTCTTTCTTCAACAAGATCCTGTTATGTTACTTAAAGGAGATGATATTTTAGTGTAAGACTTGTAATAAGCTTTCTAGAACTTGAATTAATCTTTATAAAAATATTAGTGATAGTTTTTTTAATAAGAATTATAAAAATATTAAAACATTTTCTATTGCGTGTGAAATATTCAAGTACAAATCTTTTTTCTATTTTCAAATAAATTTTTAAAATAATTTCATTAACGATATTTTAATCTATACGTGTAATTATATTACACATAATAAAAAATTGCATCTAATAATTTTTTTTAAAAAATTAATATCAGTAATAAGGTGATATTGAAATTAAACAATAATATCAACAATAATTATGAGATTATATAATCGAAAATAGTTTGAGATTTGGTCAAACAAATCATAGCCAAAGAACCAAGTTAATATGTTTATAGCAATTGTTTAGGCAATTACTCTGTAAATAAGATTGCTACTTTTGTAATTGGTTTTTCTAGAAATTGTGTTTTATTTTGGTATCAAAGTGCGACCTTTATATGTTGAAATATTGATCAACAAATGGCTAACATGGTAAGTGACCAAGGGAAACTTGTGTTTTCTCCATATGATCCCAACTTCAATGATAATGCAGCAAAATCCTCACTTAAGGTTAGCTACATGGTAGGCGAGAATTATGAGGAGTATGCTCGTAATATGAAAATATCCTTGCATGCTAAAAGGAAGTGGAGATTTATTGAGGGAATAATTGGACAACCAAAGGAAGGGATAATAAAACTAAAGGACGGCTGGATAAGTCAATAGATGCTAGTAACATGGATTCTAAACACCATAGAGCCAAATCTGAGATCTTATATGTGGAGAATGTGAAGGACTTGTCAAATAATATCAAGAAAAGATTTTTAATTACTAATAGTGTAAGAATACACTAACTCAAGTCATAATTGGCAAATTGCAAGCAAAGAGGCATGACCATAGTTGCATACTACAACAAATTGAAAATCTTGTGGGATGAATTAGCCAACTATGAGCAAATAGTGGTGTACGCATATACAAGTTTCACTTGTGATATATCCACTAAGATGGAGAAGTAGAGATAAGAAGAAGGTGCATCAATTCCTTATAGGCCTAGATAATGCCATATATGGGATAGTTCGCTCAAGTTTACTTACATGTGATCTACTACCTTCCTTGAAATCCGGTATACTTAACCATAATTCAAGAAGAATGTGTAAGAACAATCACTAGAGCAAAGGAGGAAAAGGAGAAATTGTGGGACTTGTGGCACAGGCTAGAGGTAGAAGTTGCAGAAAGGCCGAAGATAAATCTCATATTTGCACCAACTGCAGCAGAACAAGACATTACACCAATAATTATTTTCAGTTGATCGAAAACCTTGAATGGTGGGAAGAGAAGCCCAAAAATAACAGGAAAGCTACTGAGAAAAATAAGACGTTGCAACATATTAGTATGGGACAAGGGAGAGGAGCAAGTGTCAAAGTCAATGCTGCATAGACAAGTACAAACGATGGTGCAACTAGACCTAGAACAGACACAGACAAAGTTGGTCTCACTGGATTGAGTATGAATCAATGATAAAAGTTGATGGAAATGTTAAGCAAAGTAGAAATTAATGAGAAGATGACAAGTAAATTCCAATCCACCTCATGGATTATTGACATTGGGGCTCTAACCATATGACTAGAAGTATGAAAGAGATGTACGAAGTGCATAATATTGTATCATGTGTAATAGGTTTGCAAGATGGAGCCATACAAATGCCATAAAGGAAGGCACAATATATTTGAGAGAAGGCATGCTCAACCACATGCTTACCACCAAGGCATGCTCAATAATGACTCATGTTGCAATGGTCAACATACTATTGATAGGAATCTTGCTAACAGTAGGACCCTCAATGTCAAGGGTGCAAATTCAATTATGCGATGCCTAAGGCTATTGAGGTGCCCATAGTGCCTTTGTCCAACAATTTAGATTGCACTAACACAACACTTATGGACAAGGAATCACCAATGATGTCTTTATTGAGCATCACATAGGGTATTTTTACTCCATAGGATATAAACAAATGGGTTGGTGAAGAATTAAAAAACCTTCCTCCAAACTACGTGACTATGTCACCAACACAATTCACGTGCTAAGTCATCTAATCGTTTACCTTCCTGTCCTCATCCTTAGATACTTCTTACTCCATCACAAAATATGTAAATTATCATATTGGCACAATAGGCATTTCTTGCAACTCTTGAACAAGAAACTGAACATATGACTTACATTGAAGCAATGAAAGATCCCAAGGGACAAGAGGCAATATGGAATGAAATTCATGCGCTTAAGAACAACCAAACTTGGACGATGATGCGCCTACGTATTGGGAAAAAGACTTTTATATGTTGATGGATTTACAAAATAAAAAAGAAATTTGATGGCATGATTGAAAGGTTTCAGACGCGTTTAGTCATTATTGGAAACCATTAAGTTGAAGGCATTGATTATACCAAAATTTTTGCTTTGGTTGCCAAAATGATAACAATGTGTGTTGTCCTTACGTGGCAGTTGTTACAGGCTAGGAATTGAACCAAATGGATGTGCATAATGCTATCTCGCACAGTGATTTGCAAGAAGAGGTTTTCATGAACCTACCATCGAGCTTCAATGTTTCTCAACTTAGGATGGTTTGCAAGCTTAGAAAATCTCTCTATGGATTTAGGTAGGTATCTCGTTGTTGATTTGCTAAATTGTGTCATGCGCTCATGACTAGGGATAACCATGCTGCCATTGATAGCTTTAAAGCATACCTACATTCCTGTTTTCACATGAAAGGCTTGGGCTCTCTCAAATATTTTCTTTGAGTTGAGGTTGCTCACTTAGACACTAGAATTTTTCTATGTCAAAGGAAATACGTGTTAGATATTATTAGCAAAACTGGTCTTTTACGACCCCAAACCTGCTATGACTATCCTGAAACATAATCACTATATTTCTTTAGCTGATGGACTATTGTTGTCTCATATAGACCTTTATTGGAGTGTAATTGGGTGTCTCACCTATTTATGCTTTGTGATGCTAGAGTTATCTTATTGCACTCATACAATTTCCTAAGTTATGCAACAATTGAAAAATGATCATTGAAATTTTGTTTTGCATGTAGTTCAATACTTGAAAGGAAACCCAATCTAAGGGATTTGGTAACTTCCTAATCTTTTAGAAGACCAAGAAACAACACACAATGTCTAGCTCCTTACTAGAGGTTAAGTACCAGTCTATGGATACTTCCACGAGTGAACTCAAATAGTTGTAAAGCATCTTACATTGTCTTAGAATATCTCATTTGCAACCTATTCAACTCTTTTGTGATAGACAAATTGTGCTTTATATTGCTAAGAACCAAGTTTTTCATTAATGCACTAAAAATATTAAAGTTGATTGTTATTTTGTTCACAATAAAATTTTTGTTCGCATCATTCGACCTTCCTATGTCTTTGCTCAGACACAATTAGCTGATATTCTCATAAAAAAGTAATTATTTTTTCGTGGTTAATTTCATTCCTTACTTAACAAGTTAAGTATTCATTATCTTTATCCACCAATTAAGAATCAAAAATTGAATAATAATATTAATAATAATCATAAAATTATGTTATTAAAATTAGTGATGAGCTTTGATAAAACAAATCACAGCGAATCAAAGAAAATTAAATTAGCATGTTTATAGGAATTATTTTAGACAATTACTCTATAAATAGAATTTTTATTTCTATAATTTTTTTAGGATATATATATATATATATATATATATATATAAAAGAATTCTTATCCCATTATTGTTTCTTATTTAGCACGTAATAATATCAATGTATTAAATTTTATAATTTTTAATTAAAACTTTACAGAACTTCTTTTCATGTATAATACATAATTTGCTTGATATATAGTATTTTTTTAACGGTCTTTGTAACTTTAACTTTCATTAAATAAATTTATTATAGAGGATAATACAATTAAACAGTATAAAAGATAAGTTATTTAAATTATTATATTTCTCAGGATTAAGATTATTTAACAAATTTTTTATTTCATAAAAAAAAGCGATATACAATTTTAAGCAGATTGTGTTATATCATCTACCATGATTTTGAATAAAAGCTCAATTTTCATAAGGATCAGAGCTACTTAACCTTTGCTCTATTTACAATACAGAATTTTATCATTTAAATGTTAAAAACTTAACATAATATATAATATTATATATTTTATTTTTTATACACATATAAAAAGTACATTAATGGAAGAGCCGAGTGTTGAAAGAAATTCAACACTTGCAAATTAGCTTGCTTTTCTCAAGTGGTTTAAATGTAATTAGTTTGTTTTGTAACTAGTTAGTTAACAATTTCGTTACTAATTGCTTTATAATAGTTTTTATCTTTATATGCATATCTAGAAATATTGAGTTGTACAATTTTCAACATATTAATAAAATCATTTTTTTCTCAGTGTGTAATTTTCATTTTTATTTTCTTTCAGTGAAGAAATCTCAGATGTGTAAGTTCAATATGCAGAGTTATATAAAACAAACCAACTAATTACAGTTAAAACAAAAGACGGAGAAACAAACTAATAAGGACGTATTGATTCCCATTATATATTATAAAATCAAAGAGAAAATATTTTATTATTTTATATTGACGAAACATTTTTCTAATCAATATCCATTACCATTATTTTATGATTACTCAATTTGCGTTGCACAACACGCGTTCTTTCTCATCTTTGTAACTGCGCGTAGGATAGGATCATGCGAGCCTGTGAGGCTAAGCAACAGAGAGACGCGTAATTGTCCTTTTCTTTCATTCCTTCGTTCACAAGGAATAATCCCCTTAAGCAATAATCCTTCTTATGATTCTTTTTAGATGACAACTAAAATCTTTTCTTGTTTTGGATACTTCAAACATTTTCATCGCGAGAGCAAATTTCTGGGAGAAAAAAATATTTTTAAAATATATTAATTTTAAATTCATTATTTAAATTTAAATTTAAATTATTTTTAAAATTAGTAAAGATTCTTATATTTTAACACTTATTTTATCTTGTATTCATTTTCACTCTCTTTTCTTAATCCTTTCTTCCTAATATTAAGTTAAAAATATAAAAATGTTAAATCATATATTTTTAAATTTAACAACAAATATATTACTATACATATTGAATAAAATATATTATTAGAATATATTTATAATGAGAAAGTATTATTTATAAAAAACAATTGTTAATATAAAATATACTCTTGTTAGTTACACATACTTAATGAAACAAATTTATTTCATATCATCTTAATTATTGTTGGTTTTGAAAATTATTTCTCTATCTTTCTAAGTTGCAGTCAAAACTAATTTGTAATATTATGTATAGTATAATACATATTTTTAATATTAAATATTTTTGAATTTATAAGAATAAATCTATAAATATTGCATTACAATTAAAAAATTATATCAATTATTCAGCACATATTATGATATTATTTTAATATTTTCTACACATGTATATACTTTTTTATTGTATTGTTTTGGTTTTTAAAAGAAGCGTCGATAAAAAAAACTAAAAAATAAATATAATTAATTTTATATTTATAAAAATGATAAATTAAACCTTAAAAATAACATAACTACTATCAAATAGTAAAATTAAGAATCTATACAGTAAAAATAAAATAAAATTTACGTAAGAGAATTACCTGAATAATTCTTTTTATGTACAATATAAATATAAATTATTTATCATGTCTCCTTTTTTTATTTCACACCTATTAATATGATGTAAAATTATTATCGTCCAATTATTTTTTGGTCGTGATTTGTATCCAATTAATTATACATTTTTCTGTAGCATTTCAAAGCACGTTAGGACTAACGTCAACAGTAAAACGGATCACTATTTGGGCCGAATTGTCCGAAAACCCGAGCTAAAATTCTATCTCTGAACACTGAACTTATATATAAGTCTTGAATTTAATTTATTTTATTAATACATTAAATTTCACAATAATTTACATGATATTTTTAATTTACTTTTACATAATTAATTAATATAAATGAGAGACAACTATGGCAAATCATCTTCTCCTATTTTCGCGAGAGAAAGAGAAAGAAAGTAAAAAAAAATAATAATAATTTAAGAAAATAATAATGTAAGACACAATTTGAAATGAGAGTTACAGAAAGGTTCAAAATAAATTTTTCAAAATAATTCTTCTAAAAAGGATTAGAGATATAATTATATTTGAATAAAAGAAGAAATAGGATGGCGATAAATGTGAGAAAAAAATGAAAAAGATATGTCAATCGAATGAATAGAAATAAGAAAAATAGATATTTTTTATTTATTTAAATGAGTTAAAAATAAAAAGGTGAAAGAAAACTAAATAAATTATATAAAAAACTTATTCACTCCTATAAAAAGATATTTTAATTTAAGTGAAAAATAAAAATGCTCAACTTTTAATAAAAAAATATTTTATTTTCTTATCCTCTAAACTATTTTTGTTGTTTTAAATATTTTTTCAACATTTGTATTTTGTATTTATATTTATATTGGATTTATATTTATACTTTTAACAATTAATTAATCATATCCTCAAATTTTTTTAATTTTTAATAATGAACACGTGTTGTTTGAAACCTTTCTGTGCATAAATTATACAAGGTAGGGTATAAATAGATATATATTATTATTTTCGTTTCCATATCTAAAGTTTTTTACTTATTTCTACCGTTGCTTGTAGTTTATTAAATGAAATGTGATATCACTTAATATTTATTTTATAAATTAATAAAACAAAAATATCAATTAAATAAGAATGTATTTAAAAAATGTCAAATAAAAAATATTTTTTAAGACAAATTTATTCATTTAAAGTCGTGGTGTGTGGGAGGAGGACAATAAATAATTATAAATTTTATGGTGCTTATATTTATAGTCATCGATATTTTTCTAGTATATATGTATACTCGATCCCAAATCATTAAGCAGATTTTTACATTGTTTATTATAAATAAATAAAATAAATATCAAATATAAAAAAGTCACACGTTATAATAAAATGATAATAAATTTTACTTAAAGTGTAATTATTTAAATAACTGTTACAAACATTTTCATTTAAAAAATGATTTTAAATACATATAAATATACAATAAATCTATAACAATACTCTTTTTAACACAAAAAGATTACCTAAGTATCAATTGAGTGAACAGACCAATACATGTAAAGATAGAATTATACTTTTCATTATTATTGTAATTGTGATAGACAGCACTCTCTTAACTAAAAGAGCAATCTGAAGCGTATACAGTGTATTCCATTATCTCGATATGGTTTATGCCTTTATCCTTTGTCCTTAACGCCATCAATACAAGACAATTATTATTTATTATGTTAACTGGAGCGCAAATCACTCTCCTTTTTCATTAAAAAAATATCATTTTCTTTTAGCGATGCGATCTTACCTTCTAATACTTTTAAACGAATAAAATTAATTTTGTATCTTTTATTTATAATTTTTGAAAAAATAAATATTTTTATATTTTTAAGATAATAAATATTTATATTATTATATATATAATTTATAAATAATAAATAGATTATTAAAAATATCTATAAGATAATATAATAATATTCTTTTTAAGATATTTAGAGATAGACCTCTTTCTCTTTATATATATATAATTCTAGAAATTAAATGTCCGTGTATTTTCATTGTTTAATTTGAATACACAGCCAATGAAAACAAATTACACCATTGTTTATTAATGCATTATCACGTCATTTAAGAATTTAATTTGTATTTATATAGTCTCCAATGTTACTATATTACTAAACTTTTTTTTTTCACCCCTCTTAAATATTTTATAAATATGTTATTGAATACTTAACATGTTAACTTCATTAAAAAATATGATAATATATTATACGATAGTAGTATATTTTTCATTTTAAGTATTTATTTAGCGTATAAATTGGGCATAGAATTGGGATTTAAAGTAAAAATTAAATATTAATTATAGTTATATTTACTTTAAAATAATCTAAATACTTATGTTCTTCTCGTATAAAAATGGTGTGCCATTTTAATTTTTTTTAATTTCAAATCCAATCCCTCTTTTAATTATTTTGAGTGAAAAATCCTCTTTTACTTGCATTATACTTGTATTTTTTTTTATTTTAACTGAATTAAAAAAAAAAGTGTGATAAAATAAGAAGCCGAATTCATTTTTGTTAAAAAGGGCAATACGAACAACGTGGCTATTATCAAGTGAAGGGAGAAGAAAGAAAGTATCCAATTTGACAAATTAAAAATGGTGGAAGACACGTGGCAGGTGTTGATCCTGTTGATACGTCATCCCACTCGCACTCATTGATCCGTAGAGCTCCGACACCCGCGGGTCATTTTAAACGCCACTCTCTAACGCGTTTCCTCTATTTCTTCTTCCATCTTCTCTCTTCGCTCTCTCTCTCTCTCTCTCTCTCTCTCTCTCTCTCTCCGGCGACGATCTCAGATTCCGGTCACTCCTCTCGCCGGCAGACCCGTACTCTTCTCTCCTCTGTCGAGTTCTTTCCGATTCGAATCGTTCCTAACCTTGCACCGCCATGAATCCTGAGTAGTAAGTCCAAATTCCCCTTGCTGCTTCCGTTTCTGCTTCAATTATGGAAAATATTGATTCGTGTGTTTTGTTATAAATCAAGCTCGTTCAGATCCGGTTTAGTCTTCGTGCGGTAGTGGTGAATTTCGATTTTGTCAAGTGCTGACTCGGTTTTGTGAGTTTTGTCTCGGACGTTGTAGTGGATCGCGCTTCTGAAAACTTTGTTACTGATTTAGATCTGTTTTTCTAGACTACAGATCCGTTAGCGCGTGTTCAATTATGTTTGAGCTATTTTAGGAATGTTTGATTCTCTGATCCTGGTTGGGAATTAAAAAAAATATCATATTAGTTATAGGATTTTTTTTATTTTTTTGCAATGGTGATATAAGATGAATAACTACTGAAATTGGGTTAGTGTCTACCATGTAGAAAATGATGCCAGCTTGTCCACTAGCTAAACTTATGCAAGTTCTGAGGACTAGATGATGGTTGTGACTAGTGAATTTCTTAAAATTGATACCTTGAAAAAATACCAGCATTAATGACTATCTTAAAACGGTTATTTAGAGAAGGAATCACTTTTTTTTTTTTTCATTTGGTGGCGGTGATTAGTTTTATTGTGTTTTTACTTAGGGTTGTTATAATTTATTAGTTTGATTCTTCTTCAGTGCATAAGGGGGTGGGGGTTGTTGAAGTTCTATAGTTAGATCTACGAATATGATGGTTGAGCATCTATTGGTCCTCCAGAAAATAAGTTGATTTAGAAATATGAAGGCTTTTCTAGTTGTTGATTCTTGCTGAGGGTCCACCTCAATTGCCTCTTGTTGAGGATCCTCTACTAGGGTGATGTTAAATGGACAAAAGAGTTTATTAGAAAAAAATCCCACGAATTTGTGCAAAGCTTGTTCTTCTGAATTTGTGTAGACAAATATTGCACATCTTGAGAACAATTTTAATAGTGAAGATTGTGTTGTCGGTGCATGACTTGTATATCAACGATTATAAATGATGTAATATATACCTGGTATGATATTGCACATATTGCACCTGTGCTCGTGCTATGCGTTATATTGCTGTATTCTCTTAGAGAAAAGAATAAGACATTTTCTTACTATTTTCCTATTATTGATTGGAGCTTCATTATGTTTTTTGCAGTGACTATTTGTTCAAACTTTTGCTAATTGGCGATTCTGGTGTAGGCAAATCATGTCTCCTCCTGAGGTTTGCTGTAAGTTCCTAGCCTATCCTTTATGTTTCATGGTCACTTATTTTTTTTCAATTAATGAAAAACGAAGTTGGATATTCCCACTATTCCACTTCCTTATATTGCAAAGTTCCAAATTTAATGAAGAATTAGAGATTCAAGTTTTACATATGGCGTGGGACTGTGGGTGGTAATTATTGAATTCTTTCTTCATAACTTTGGAGTCCCATTTTAGGCGTTGAAATATATACTATATAGTAGTGTGTGTGTGTGTTGCTGGAGTTTGCAATGCGAATCAAAACTTTTTACTTTGAGTTTATTTTATGAAGTGGAGGTTGCACTTCTTAATATTTTATTTTGTTGTGAAACAGGATGATTCATACCTTGACAGCTATATCAGTACCATTGGAGTGGACTTTGTAAGCATTTAAGTTCACCATTTAGCTTTATTTCCATTTTTTTTTCAGCACAAATATCTGACTAATTATTTTCCTCACTCCCTTTTATAGAAAATCCGCACAGTGGAGCAGGATGGGAAGACTATTAAACTTCAAATTGTAAGTCCATTATCATATTAATGCTATTTGAATGTTGAACTTTGACACACAAGTTTCTGGTTCTGATTACATGTCAATTTGTTTTCTACATCTAAATTACGTCTTATGTAATTGTCTCTATAATTATATGGAAATCAATTTGAATCTGCCTAGGAAAAATGCTCAATCTGAAGTTATCATTCACTTACTTAAGAATGTCTCTTTTTAAGTTTAACGAAATAATCACGTGATTTGTTGAGTAAGAGAATCATTCCAAGTCATTTCTGGTCACCAAACATGTCCTTTGTATATTTGAACAGTAATATTTGAGGGCTTAAGGTTACCCTCGGAAAAAAAATGGAAATTATTTTTTTCAAAACACGCTTGTCCAATTATCTGGGAGTGTGCTGCTTTACTGTATTTTGTAATTGTTGACAAATTTTTCTGCATTTTTTTTACCATATAGTGGGACACTGCGGGTCAGGAACGTTTCCGGACAATCACTAGCAGCTACTATCGTGGGGCTCACGGCATTATTGTGAGTTATTTAAACTGGTTCTTCTTATTGTGCTATTTATTGTGAGTTATTTAAACTGGTTCTTCTTATTGTGCTATTTCCTTTGTTTTTTGGGTAACGGTGGTGTAACCCTATTACTATTCTGTTTTTTTTGGCAGGTTGTTTATGATGTCACTGACCAAGAGAGCTTCAACAATGTTAAGCAGTGGCTGAATGAAATTGACCGCTATGCGAGTGAAAATGTCAACAAGCTTCTAGTTGGAAACAAGTGCGATCTCACGGCAAATAAAGTTGTGTCCTATGAGACAGCAAAGGTGATTCTGAATGTGTTGGTTTATGTTGTGTATATTTCCCACTGACATCTGTTGAATCCTTTCTTTTGTGATTTTGTCTAGTGTTTTTGAAGTTTGTGCTTTCTGTTTTATCTTTCCAGGCGTTTGCGGATGAAATTGGAATACCATTCATGGAAACTAGTGCTAAAAATGCCACCAATGTGGAACAGGCTTTCATGGCCATGGCTGCTGAAATAAAAAATAGGTGCTGTATTTCTGTGTGCAATGTCATTAAAATGTCATTGAAGGCATTTTTGTTCCTGTTACTGATGTTTGTTGAGCTTTTTTTTGTGAGTTTGCATGAATTTTGTTTATGATTGACCTCTTTGCTTCTCCTTGGTTCCTTTCCACAGAATGGCAAGCCAACCAGCGAGCAATGCCAGGCCTCCGACAGTTCAAATTCGGGGACAGCCAGTGAACCAGAAGTCTGGTTGCTGCTCGACTTAGAGACAAAGTATTTGTGGTCTTAGACGTTTATGTGTCTCAGTGGCATGTAAAACTAGTTTTTCACATAATGCTTTAATATGAAGATTGTTCGTCATGATTTGATCCTTATCGTTAAGTCTTTGTTGAAACTTCCATTCTTTTCAATGTATTTGATTTTCAAAAAACATTTGTACAAAATTAGGAATATTGGTGAATAGCAGTATTTGCCTTGTTCTTTGTCCCATATGCCCATTTCACCTCATATCAACGCCCTCAATCACTTGTCTCTGTAGGAGTAGAATCTTGTTTAATTGCAACCACTCTTGTAAGTTTATGAAATAAAATAATAGAAAACTGGATTTTTTATATTTTGAAAAATGTTCCCTTGTTATCATTTCATATCGTTCTCTATCAGTTTGTCTCTCTTTGTTTCTTTATTGAGTATATTTTTTGCTCTAGAAAAGAACGTCAAGCGTCATTTAAGGTAGCGTTGAGGGGAAATATTAGACGAGGTAAACCATTTGAATTTTACTTTATTTTTGGTATATTTTATAAGATTTAATAAATTCTAATAAAATTTAACTTTATATATATTTTTAAAAATTGTTTCAGTTAATTTATAATTAAAAAATGGATTAAATTGAATGTCTTTTTCTAACATTAAAAGACTAAAAGAAGATTTATGTAATCTCGGAAATTAATTTAGAAGCTTAATTATTCTTTCCGATTTACTGTTCATAGGTTAGCATTTTAGAGTGTTGTTGCATTGCCATCACACTACCTCTCAAATGAGGGTGCTCGCTGATGTTTTCAAAATATTATAATGTGGTTCCGACCCAAAAAAGAAGTGTCATCGCATTGCCATTTCATTCAAGTAAGCAAATAGGCCAAAAAAAGTTTTAAGTGCCTCAGGCCATGTTTCCTATTCTAGATTCTAATTAGTGAATAGCTTTTCTAAATTTAAAGAATTTTAATACAAAATCAATTCGGGGTAGGACTGCATAGTGCCTAACATAGTAGTGTAGAAACCCCAACTCAGCAATTCAAGGTTCGACGATAAAGATCATAGCTTGGTTCTGTCTCCAACATCCCCAACTTGCAAGTGCAGACCACGCACTAAGATGACTAATGTTGAACTCCTCCACAACCCATATAGCCATTTGATTTTGAACTTAAAATAAGTCGTTCTTCCTTCTGGGGGCAGCATTTGGTAAGCATTTATTTATGGACTCCTGACAAACTGCAATCAATTGCTTTCTCTTGGTCATAGTCTGTCTAGAGCCTGTGGAACTTATAAACTGTCCAAAAGGCTGCTAATCAAACAACTTAGGTGTGGGTAAAAGGACTTTGCAGTTAATTTCCAGCGTCATAGCCAATTAGTTCAGCTGGAACTTTAATGCAATGCTAGAGCAATTAAGGGCACTTTTCTTAGTCTCTAGTATAGTATTCCTTTCTGTGTACAATTGAAATCAAATCAGCTTCAAGGTGTGGAGCATGACAACTTGCTCTTGGAACAATAGCGCATACCCTTCAAATTCAATAGCATTAGTCTTACCAGTAATCTCTGCAGGAGCAGAGCCCATCCTTGAAATGATGAAATCTTATAGTATCCCTTACTATGATTTCTCTACCTTCAATAGCTGAGATGTATTTGATTGCAGAGTGGCAATCTCCACAAACTCTCAAGTTTTTGAACACCAGGATTGGAACCCCAAGTGGTACCTTTAGAAGTCCAAATGCAATTGCCAGTTTCTCACTGTGCCATAAAAGAAGCTGTTCTTTCAACTCCTCTCCTACATCATGCAATGCAAATTCAAGGTCTGGCACATAACCAGCCAACTTCATTTTCTTCTCCAATTTATTTAGTTTTTCATGTATAGAAGCCAATTCAGGGTGCAATCTGTCACTAGATCTAAACTCATGGACCACACTGTTTATTTCAATCCAACTGTATCCAGGTATCTTCACTACATTATTTTCTTTCATGGATCTTCGGATCCTAGCAACTTGGTCCCATCTGTTTTGTGCTGCATAAACATTAGCCAATTGAACATATCCAGTTGCACTAGTTGGATCGAGCTCCAGCAGGTTCTTGGCAGCAAACTCAGCCAGGTGTAAGTTTTTATGGATCCTACAAGCACCGAGAAGTGTTCCAAATATTGCAGGATGGGGCTTAAAAGGCATACTTTTTATCAAATCTACTGCCTCAGATAACTTACCAGCTCGACCAAGAAGGTCAACCATGCATGCATAGTGTTCTGGCTTAGTTTCAATCCTAAAATCCCTTACCATTGCTTTAAAATATTCAACCCCAAGATCTACCAATCCTGCATGGTTACAAGCTAACAATACTGCAACAAAAGTAATCCAATCTGGTTTCATGTCTTCACTTTTCATCTTATCAAACAAATGAAGAGCTTTTTCACCAGCTCCATGTTGAGCATAGCCAGAAATCATTGCATTCCAACATACAACATCTTTCTGCGGAATCTGAACGAACAATTCCCAAGCATCATTTAGATCCCCACACTTGTAATACATGCTAATTAACGAAGTTCCTGCCGTCGTATCACTACTCAATGGAGATTTACAAACTAATTGATGAACTTGTTTACCCAGCTGCAACGCTGATAAATTACTACAACCCAACAAGACACTAGTCAAACTCAAAGCATTAGGCTTAACCCCAGTTTCTAACATTGTCTTAAAAATCTTTAACCCATCCTCTGCCCTACCATTCTCAACGTACCCAGCAATCATAGCATTCCATGTCACCAATGTCTTCATTGACATGTCCCGGAACAATCTTTCTGCCAATTCAACCCTCCCAAACTTCAAGTACCCAGTAATCATGGCAGTCCATGTAATCACACTCCTCACATTCGCAGCGTAGAAACATTCCACAGCAGAATCTAAATCCCCACAACCCACATATCCAGACACCATTGCACTCCACGAAACACAGTTTTTCTCCGGCATGGCCACGAACAACCTTCTCGCCTCACCCATGAGTCCGACCTGAGCATAACCCGAAATCATGGTGTTCCATGATGCACTATCCTTCACGAGCATGCTGTCAAAGAATTCACGGGCATTATCTACCCCAAAATGGTGCAAACGACATGCCAACATTATATTATAGGAAACAGTATTTGGTTGGGGAATTTTTTCAAACACTTGGCAAGCATGTTCAAAGTTGCCAGGTTTCTTCGCAAAAGCAGATAGCATAGAGTTCCATGAAACAGTGGACTTCACTTTCATGTTCTCAAACACACGAAAAGCAGAATCTATGTCACCGCCTCGAACGTAGCTTGTGATGAGCTTGTTCGAGGCAATGACGTAGTTAATTTCGCGTTGATGGGTATGTGACAAAACATGTTGGTGAGTTGTGGTGGCGAAAGTTAGTGTTTGGTGTTTGCTTAGTGCAACAAAGAAAGATGTTGACAAAAGGTTTTGCTTCTTCTTCCTCAATAATCGAAAACAATACATGTATCGATGGATTATAATTATTGATTCTTTTTCCTGTTTCCGTTTCACTGTGAAGACGAATTCAGGTTTTTCATCTGTAGTGTAAGTAACTAACAGATTAAATAAAAAGAAAAAAGAAAGAAAAAAAAAGTGTGCCAAACATTACAGGATTGAAAAACAATAATAAAAAGGTGTATTCACATTCCGTTGCCGGGACTTGAACCCGGGTCTTTCGGGTGAGAGCCGAATCTCCTGACTAACTAGACTACAACGGAATTGTTAATTATTTTGTTAATTAATTACACTTTATAAATAAAATATAGAATAAATTTAATTAAAATTCATTGTCAATATGAATGTTTTATACATTATCATTTGATCATTAATTATTATATAATTAAAAATAATGATATTTATAAATAAAAATGTCTAATATATTAGTTGTTAAAATTGAACGTAGATTAACTTTTTACTTTTAGGATTTTTATTTAAGAAAGTTTCTCTCATTCTTTCACAAAGGTTGTGTCGGCCCCGCTAGGGCTCTCACCCTAGCTTCTTCGCGACTCTGGAGTGTGGAAGGAGGTGCTTGGAGGTGGGTGTAACTTGAATCCAAGCTTTAACTTTAGTGATCTTTGACGAATGGAGAGAAACAAATGTGAGAAGATATCTATAGAAGAGAAGGACTTGACGGATCATAGCACGAAAAAAAGTGAAGATTGACTCTGCTGGTCTTTTAGAGGAGCAGATGCCGCTCTCATACTCCATGATCGAAGATCTCACAATGACAAGTCAGAGGCCAGACTAGGTGCGTATAAGGATAAAGTTTTAGGGTCTAAAAATATAGATTTAGTCTTAAATGATGAAGAAATTTTAAAATCAATATTAGATGATTTTAATATCATATTTGAACTTGAAGATAACATGAAACCAACTTCTATTGTCCAGAACTTGTGTCCTGATCTCAAGATTCCTTTAGAGGAATATGAGGGGTGGGGTGCCCCTTGAAGATTTACTCTTATAGTGAAACTTTTAGGTAAAAATGTTAATTTGAGTTACCTTAATCAAAGACTAAATAGTATATGGGGAACACGAGACTATCAATTCTGGATTTAAATAAAGAATTCTTTTTAGTAAAATTTGAAAACATTGATGATTACAATCTTGCTCTATTTGAAGAACCATGGCTAATCCTATATCACTACCTCCTTAGAACTAAAGACTATAATCTTAGAAAGATTGTTGCTTGGGTGAAAATCCTTGATTTGCCGCTTGAATTATACAACAATAAATTTCTTTGGCAGGTTGGATCCAGTTTGGGGGCTGAAAGTGGACCCTTTTACTTCTCTGCTCTCTAGGAGAAATTCGCTAGGATTTGTGATGAAATAGACCTTAGGAAGAAATTGGTTCCTGGTTTTAAGGCTTTAGGTCAAGAATTTAAGGTAGAATATAAGGGATTACATTTTATCTATTTTCATTGTGGTAAATACGAGCATAAACAAGAACAATGTGTTGAGAATCCTAAATCTAGTCAGGTTGGTATGGTATCTAGGGCTAATATAACTAATAATTCAATTGGTAGTAAGGACCTTTCAGGGCATAATTCCATTCAAAATAAGGATATGGCTATAAACTATGATGGAAATGGGGTGGTAAACAAAGAGGATTTTTTGGACCCTGAATGCTAGCAAAAAAATAACCTAGGAGAAAACATAATTCTTTACTTCATAATAGGAGTTCTTCCAAAATTGGGAAAGTTAAAGAAAGTTATGCAAGTTCTAGATTTGATGTTTTAGGTGATTCTGATATAGACCTAGATCAGGTAGCTGATGTTCATGATCCTAGGCCCTCAAGTTTCCTTCAGTCTACGGGTGCAGTGCCTAAAGTTGATTTCCCTAATAGATAATTCAAGCACCATACTTCTAATAAGTCTAGTGAACCTGTTAGGAAAGGAACCAAACCAAGATTGACCCATAAAGTAGTCACTGGCAAAGGTAGAAGTAATTCTTCTCAAATTGAGATGGAAAGCATTAGTGGTAATGAGCATGACAATCTAAAGAGAGATTCTAGGCAGGGGAGTAAGGAAATCTTTTCTTTAATGAAAATTTATGAACATAATATTCAAAATAATAAAACTTTGGGTAATAGTATTTAGGATTTAATTGGCCTTAATACTTAGGATCTTTGGAAACACCAGAATTTTCCTTGTCTAAAGCCTACTGATAAGCCCCCATATCTGCCTTTAAAGGTGGATGCAAATAATGATTGTAAACCGGGGCATAATCAACCTAGTGAGAGGCATGTTGTAGGGAATACTGCAGGTTTATCTCAGCATCTTTCATATGCTTCTAATTTTTCATCCCTGAATTTATGAATTGTGTTTTTTGGAATTGTAGGGGTGTTGGGGGTATGACCTTCTCTAGGCTTATCAATGACCTTATTAAGATTTATAATTTAGATTTTGTTACCATTTTTGAACCTAGAATTAGTATGCAAAGGGCTAACCGAGTCATTAAGAAATTTATTTTGGATGGCTTTACTAGGGTTGATGCTATAGGCTTCTCAAGGGGGATTTGGTGTTGTTGGAATAGTAGGAAAATAAAGGTTACTATTTTGGAAAAAAAGAAGTATTTCATTCATTTAAAAATCCATAATGGTCATAGAGATTAGGTTCTTTCTTCTGTATATGCTAATCCTTTAGAAGGGTTGAGAACTAAGTATTGGGAGTCACTCATTAATTTTAGTAATTCAGTTCAGTGTCTCTGGTGTATTGCTGAGGACTTTAACTCTATTCTTTTTGAAAGTGAGAAATCTGGGGGTCGATCTGCTAATTTGAACCTCATTAATCAATTTGCTACTTGTCTTAACACTTGTGAGCTGCAGCACTTGGGATTCAAGGGAATCCATTTACCTGGCATAGAGGAAATATTGAGGAGAGACTTGATAGAGTTGTGGTTAATGATTCCTAGATAATGTTATTTCAGAATAGTTTTATTATCTATCTTCCCATTTTAAAATCTGATCATGATACCTTATGGTTTAAAATTAGAGGTAAGGTTAGTGATAGGTCTAGTCATAGACCGTTTAGGTTCTTAGCTCCTTAGTTGGCCCATGATGATTTCAAAAATCAAATCAAGAACTCTTAGATCAGTTCTAGATCCTTGACTAAAAATGTTAATAACTTTAGAAAAAATATTACTAATTAGAATTTAAATGTTTTTGGGAATATTTTTTAGAAAAAAAGAAGGATATTAAATAGAATTAGAGGCATTTCTAATAAGTTAGTTGTCCAAGATAATTTTTTTCTTAAAAATCTTATGAAATCCTTATGGCTGGAGTACCAGAAAATTATGAACACTAAAGAATTATTCTGGTTCCATCATTATAAATCCAGCTGGATTCAATTTGGGGATAGGAACAATAAATTTTCTCATAAAGCAGTGGTAATTCATAGGAAAAATAATTATATTGAGACCCTTAGAAATAATGAAGGTGAGTGGAAGTTAGATTCTTCTAACCTCCAATCTCTTGTTGTTGAATATTTTAGAAATATTTATTCTGACCAATGTTTTATTAGTCATCCTTTACTGAATAGTTCTAGGTTTCCAGCCCTTAGGGATATTGATGTTTCCCTGCTGGATTCTATTTCCAGTTTAGCTGAAATCAAGGCTGCCTTATTCAGTATAAACAACTTCAAATCTCTTGGCCCATATGGGCTTCATGCCCTTTTTTACAAATCTCAATGGGACATTTTAGCTCATTTTCTACTTCAGTTTGTTTTTAATATTTTTAATAACCCTGATAGAATTTCTATGGTTAATGATATTGTCCTTTCCTTAATTCCTAAAGTTAAGTCTCTTGAACATATTAAGCAATTTAGGCCTATATCTCTTTGTAATATTAGTTATAAAATTATAACCAAAACCCTGACTAATAGGATTAGAGAAATCTTTCCTCATATTATCTTAGCCAACTAATCTAGTTTCATCCTTGTGAGGCAAGATATTGATAATACCCTAATTTTGCAAGAACTTGTTCACTCTTTTCATAAGCTTAAAAATAGAAATAATTATATGATAATTGAAATTGATCTGGAAAAAGCTTACGATAGACTTAGGTGGAGTTTCATTAATGATACGATACAGGTTATTGGTCTCAGCCCTAAATTCTCTTCCTTTATAAGTCACTGTATCTCAACTTCTTCTATGTCCATTAATTGGAATAATGATAGAACTGAATACTTTAAGCCTCATAGAGGAATTAGACAAGGGGATCCTATTTCTCCTTATCTTTTTGTTATGTGTATTGAGAGGTTGGCTCATATGATTCAAGATAGGGTTAATGATGGTAGATGGGTGTCTTTTCCTTTCAACAATAAGAGTCCCTTTATTTCTCATCTCTTTTTTGCTGATGATATAATTTTGGTTACTAAGGCTGATTCTGTCAATGCTAGTATTATTTTTGAAGTTTTAAATACTTTTTGCTCTGCCTCAGGTCTTTCTGTAAATTTGGACAAGTCTTTTGTTTATTTTTCTAAATGTTGTAATTATGTCCTACAAATGGATCTGAGTAGGAGACTAGGTATTATGAGCTCTGATCAGTTTGGTAAGTATCTTGGTATTCCTATTAGCCCCCTGCTCCCTACTAGAGCAAATTTTCAGTTCATTATAGATAAAATTAGGAAGATATTCTCAATTTAGAAAATGAATTCCTTGTCTATGGCTAGCAGAATCACCCTTGCTCAATCTTATTTAATGAGTATTCCTAATTATTTTATGCATGCTATCACTATTCCTAAAACTGTTTGTAAAGAAATTGATAGAATCTGTAAAAAATTTATTTAGGGTTCATTAAATGGGAGGAAATACCACTTAATTAATTGGAGGACTATTTGCAAACCTAAGAGTGAAGGGGGCTTGAGTTTTAGAGACATTAATATACTCAATAAAGCTTTCATAATGAAACTGTGTTGGAGACTTGTAGCTTATCCTAGTGATCTTTAGTCCCAGGTTATGTGTAACAAATATAGCTTTGTCTTAGGCAAATCCCCTAGAGTTCCCAATAGCCTGCATGCTTTGCCTTTATGAAAAGGTATGGTAGTCGTTTGGGACTATTTTTCACTTGGACTTGGCTGGGTTTTAGGTAATGGCATGA